AATGAGTGTTATGAGTGTCTGAGGTCGGATTTGAACTCAGGGCCTCCTGACTCTAGGGCAGGTGCTCTATCCACTTCACCATCTAGCTGCCCCAAAGCTTTGTTTCTTATTAAGATTGTGTGAATTTTCCTTCATCTTTAAAGTAAGAACATCAATATCTCACTGGATTATTATGTCAAAAATGCTTTGTGGATCGTAAAGTGCTTTAGAAATGGGAAACATTATTCTTCTTATAATCATTCCTAAGACAGGGGTCAGGTAGTTAAAATTTCTGACTCTGGTTCTCTGGTATTCATGTGGCAGGGTGAGGCGGTGATGTGGGGGAGGGTTGCTAGGGGCAGGGTGGTCCCACTTCGGATTGGCAATACTTTAGGATAAATTAATTTATCAGACCCTTTTCCTTTGAGCACTTTTCATAGATGGAAGGAGGGAAAGGCTTTGGGCCTCTGAGAAGAGATAAGTGGGAGGCTAAGGATACTAGACTAACTTTGCAGACTTAGAATTTTGGCCACAGTTGGACCTGATCCTTAGACTGAGTAACTTCTATCCCTGACTTCCCAACACCCAACATGGCCACTGAGACGCCGTTAGCTTGGCTGACGATGAGAGAGCCTGTCTGTAGGTCAATAGAAAGGGAAACCACAGGACTGTTTTTTGTCAGAAATCGAGCATAAAAATAGGAAGTTTCTTTTAAATGATCTGATCTCTTGGTTGTATTTCTGTCAGAAATGAAGACTTTATTACCCCTTTGTTGTACTATTATAGCCTCCTAACCCATCCCCTACCTCCAGTTCCTTCTACATTTGTCTTTGATTTTTATATCACCTTCATTTTTTCCTAATATATCCCTTTTCCCACTTTGACCCACAGTCACCCATTGTAGCAAAGAAGTAAAAATATAAGCATTTCAACAAAACCAACATATTAATACAACACTCCTACTTCCAAAGCATCCTTCACATAGTCACCAGTAATACTTAGCTCTAATTGTGCAAAAACCTGGTCAAAACATTAATGGCACTGGAGTTGGGGTCAGGAAGACCTGGATTCAAATCCCACTTCAGGCATTTAATATTCATTCAATCTTAGATAAGTCATTTAGCTTCTCTTTGCCTCAGTTTCCTCATTTGTAAAATGAGGGGTTTTGAATTCCTTCCAGCTCAAAATCTGTGATCTTATGACCTACCCTTGTGCTTTTATCTTCCACTATACAAACTCTCTTCTGAAGCCAAATGGGTTTATTCATCATCCTTATGTTTTGCAACTACCTCACTTCTGCTCATGCTGTTCCTTATGCCTAGAATGCCTTCCTCTTCCTTAGCCTTTATCTGTCTATCACCGTCTTACCCACACTCAGTGCCCAGCTCAGATGCCACCCCAGCTGGAAGGAGTCTCTCTCTCTGTCTTTCTCCTTCCTCCTCCTCCCCCTCCTTCCATCTCCTCCTTCACCCTGACTCCTTCTGTCCTCTAAATAATGATAACACATTTTCCTTACCATTCATATAACCTTCAGTACAGTGTGTGTGGAGAGAAATATAGAAATATAAAAATTGTGTAAAACATAAAACACAATAAATACATAAATAATATTTAATGGAATAGAATAAATGTGATGAATAAATAATGTATTAAATATATTGTGTAAATGTATATATATGAAAATACATAGTATATATACTGTGGTATGTGAATATATATACCCACAATATTGTATACATAATAAATACAATGTACAATATTGCATTTATTATACAATGTTATAGACAGAATAAATATGCAAAATACAGTACAACACAATATTATGCAATATTGTAGACATAATAAGTATTTGTTATGTTACCATGGACTATCCCATATTATATGTCTCGTTCCAACCCCCACCCCCAAACACACACACACACATTAACTTCTTGAAGACAAGGCTTCTTGTGTGTCACATAACAAGGACACAGGGACTTAATGTTTGTTGGCTAACTTATTTGGCAGTAAACACTTGAGTTTAACAGTTCTAAAAACTTGAGTTTCTAGAAGAATCGACGGGCATCTCACTCATGGGAGGCAGTAGATGAGCCCATCTCTTTTTTCCTTCCCGGTGCTGAACTTTATTATAACTACTTCCCTACTTTGTTAATATATTCTCTCTTGACAAATTCTTCCTCTGTCTGTTGTCTCCTATATTCACCCAAGTGCAATTATATCCCAGAATCTGGATACTTATGTTTCCTCTTCCATTCTTCTTTGTTCCTTCTTTCTCTGATAGACACATATACCCCATCCCAGTCTCGACTCCTTCCATCAGCTTTTTATTCTTTTATTTATGTCTGTCTTGCTTTCCTTCACCAATCATTTCTTTTCTATGTAATTTAAATCTTCCTTTTTATTGTGTACTAAACAGTCCTAAACAAGCATGAACATTTTGGTGTAAAAAGAACAAGAGTGCATATGAAACGGTCAATTTCTGTTATACGTAGTTTGTTGTTTTAAGTGCATATTAAATTGAACGTAGATTTAGAGCTGGAATAACCCTTAAAGGTCATGTAGTCCAACACCCAAATTTTAAAGAGGAGGAAACTGAAGCCAGGATAGATTAAGAGGCTTGCCCAAGTTTAGAAAAGTAGTAAGTGCCAGTCAGGATTTGGACTCTACTCCTCTTACCCCAAAACAAGTGCCCTTTGCCTTGTACAGAGTAACTCCACCAAAGTGCCCCAGTTTGTTTCATTCCCTTATGACCTTTCCCCCCCACTTCTTGACTAATCATTTTAGAAAGTTCCTTCAATGGCTTAAGAATCTCCCCAGTCTGTTACAGGAAAGCCCACCCAGCCTCTACCCAGGGATCTTCCTAATATCCCTGGGAAGGAATAATAAGCACTGCCTAGTGTGGGAATCACAGGCAAAAAGTACAGGTCTTTTGACCGAGGCCACTGTAAGTCTCTGGTGGAACTGGGGCTTGAGTATCCTAACTCAGAGTCCTGGCAAGCCAGCCAGCTTGTATTCCCTTGCATATAATTAACAAATTCCATCACCTGCACATCTTTCCCATCTGTATTCCCCGTGTTATTCACTTTACTCTGAGATGCCTTTTCCCAAACCCTACCTCATTTCCTGTCCTTCTAAACCTTTCATTCTTTAAAAAACCCAATTAAAAGCTTGGCTCCAGGATACCATTTCTGATTACTGCCCTGCTCTGATTACTCTTTCATTCTGTTTCCTCAATACTAATGAATGTAATTTATATTATATGATAACTTATAGCTACAGAGTACCTTTTATTTGTTGTTGTTTATTCTTGTCCAACTCTGAGACCCCATTTGGGATTTTCTTGGCACAGATATTGGAGTGGTTTGCCATTTTCTTCTCCAACTTGTTTTACAGATGAGGAAATTGAGGGAAACAGGGTTAAATGACTTTCTCAGGGTCACACAACTAGTAAGTGTCTGAAGCCAGATTTGAACACAGGAAGATGAGTCTTCCTGTCTCCAGGCCCAGCACTCTATCCACTGTGCCACCTAGCTTCCCTTATATACATTGTCTTATTTGTTCCTCATGATGACCCTATGGGAGGGGAATGGCATTTTACAAATGGGAAAACTGAGGTTCAGAGAGATTAATTTGCCACGGTCACACAGCCAGTAAGTGACAGAAAAGCCAAGCTCAAATCTTCTGGCTCCAAGTTGCTGTCATAGCTCATTCTGTAATTCTTTTCCTGTTAATAAATCAGTGACTTCAAGTACTAGGAATGGTGCTAGATCCTGGGGATACACATTCAAAGATGAAATTTGATTCTATGTGGGTGGCTAGAACCATGGATCAGGAAATATCTAATATAGAAAAAAGTAATTAGCAGTGTTTGGAGTGAGGGGGCCACTGACAGTTTGGGAAAATCAGGAAAGGCCTCTTCAAAGAGCTGACACTTGATCTGGGCCTTTAGGGGGTTCCAAGAAGGAAAGATGAGGAGGGAGAGCATTCCTCCTACTCGTGGGGGGATAGCTCTTTTCATACATGGATGCTCCATCTTTTCTACTACCACCACTACTATCAATAATCATAATAATAACAGAGAAAGAGAGAGGGAGGAAGGGGAGGGAATAAGTACTTCTTCAGTGCCTACTATGTGCCAGGGGCAGCTAGGTAGCTCAGTGGATAGAGTGCTGGGCCTGGAGTTAGGAAGACCTGAGTTAAAATCCAGCTTCAGGCACTAGCTGCATGACCCAGCAAGTCATTTAACCTTTGTTTGCCTTAATCCACTGGAGAAGAAAATGGCAAAACCTTCCGATATCCCTGCCAAGAAAACTATATGGACTTTAGGCCCAGCACTCTATCTATTGCACCACCTAGCTGCCCATTACAAATATTGCCTCATTTTTAATCTTACGAGAACTCTGGGAGGTAGGTGCTTTTATTATTCCCTTTTTACAGATGACAAAACTGAGGCAGACAGAGGTTAAATGACTTGCCCAAGGTCACACAGCTAGTTAGTGTCTGAGGCTAGATTTGAACTCAGGTTTTCCTGACTTCACGCTCAGCAATCCATCCACTATGCCATCTAGCTTAAACTAGATTTTTAAGATCTTCGGATCAGAAACCTTTTTTGTTCTTTTTGTATCTCTACCATGAACCCAGGTAATAGCATTTCCCAAATAATTTGATAAATACTTGGGATCACAGGTTCTTACATATAGAACTAGAAGGTGTCTTGGAGGTAATCTAACCCAATCTCATTTTACAGGTGAGGAAACTGAGACCCACGGACATTATTAAGTGACTTGCCCAGGGTCCTGCAGGCCTTAAGATACCAAGCCAAGATTCAAATCCAGGTCCTCTGACTCTAAATTCAATGTTTTTCCCACCACTCCATGAAGCCCTGCTGATGGTAGTGAATTTCATACAGTCAGTCAATCAGCCTTTAATATTCACTGTTGTTCTTTTGGAAATTATCTCATACTCCTTTCAGGGTCTCTCATCTCACTTCACTTTTTTTCCTCATGTGTTCTTGGCTTCAGGATGCCTCTCTTTGCTGGTGACGGTGCAGGATACCGAACGCTACGTCACATTGTTTGCCTCCATCGTCCTCAAGTGTGATTATACCACATCTGCCCAGCTGCAGGACGTGGTGGTCACCTGGCGCTTCAAGTCCTTCTGCAAGGACCCAATCTTAGATTACTACTCTGCGTGTGAGTGTTTTCCTAAGTCTCTTCCCTCTCCGCCCCCCAAAAGCCTTCCTCCTGTGCTTGTGAGTGAAGAGTTATAGAAATTAACTGAGAGCCTCTTCCTGGCTTCAGCCTATAGATGCTTCCTTGGGGGTCTATACCCAGACATATTTGCTCTCTTCCTTTCCCTTCTCCATGAAGACTTGTTAAGTTTTACTAGACTATAAGCTTCATGAGGGCAGAGTTCATGACATACCCAAACTCTATACTTTTCTGTCACCTCGGCCATGAAGTACAGCTTAATAAATGGGGACTCAAAAGTATTTGCTTTCATGCACTTAAGCTACAGAATTGGAGGAGAGAGACCTCAGAGGTCATCTAATACAGCTTCTATCCAGAACAACCATCTTCACTTCCACTTTTCTGACAAATTGGCAAAAGAGAAAAGTCCCATATATGCAAAAATACTTATAATAGCCCTTTTCCTAGTAGCAAAGAACTGGAAGTACTTTGGGCAAACATCTGTTGGGGAATGGCTGAATAAATTGTGATACATGAATGTAATGGAAAATCATAACAAACAATGAATATGAACAATTGAGAGGAACTTGTGAAGGTTTATATGAAGGGGCAGAGAGCAAAGTAAACACAACCAAAAGGAAAATTCACACGATGACCATCGCAAAGTAATGAGAAAAAAAATGGAAAAACTTCAGAACTCTAGACAAAGAAGCAGTGATCACAGAGAACCAGTATTCCTTCCTTAAGCACAGATCATGGCAACCTGACTTCACTTCCCCTTTTGACACAGTTACTAGGCTGCTAGACCATAGGAATTATAATGTATATAAATTTCGACAAAACATTTGACTGAATCTTTTGTTATCCTGGCGGACAAAGTAGAGATGAGCAAGATGATGGCAAAGTTGATTACTTTAGAAATGATGGAAAGATCAGAGTTGATGAGCAATCACTTACAGGTCAGTGTCAATATAAAGGGATGTCTCTAGTGGAGTACCCTAGGGAATCTCTTGTTGGCCCTGAGCTATTTAAAAGTTTCATTAATAACTTGCATAAAGGTCTAGTTGGCATGTTCATCAAATTTGAGAGGGATAGCAAACACATTAAGTGAAAATCAGGTTTCAAATTTCAGCAGCCTAGAATATTTGGGTAAATATAACAAACTGAAATGTAATAGTGATTAACATAAGTTCTTACCTTTAGGGTAAAAATATCAACTTCACATATACAAAATGGGAAGTATGACTAGATGGCAATTCTTGTTTTTATTTTTGTTTTTTTATTAATGGTTATTTTAGTGAGCTTCATGCTCAAGGAGTTAGTAGTGTGTTGGCATTTTAAAAAGCAATAGAAATTTTTTTAAAAATCTTTTTAAATATATATTTATTTCATCAAATATTTCCCCATTACATGTTAAAAAAAATTTTAACTTTCATTTTTTAAAAATTTGAATTCCAAGTTCTTTCTCTCCTTCCTGCAATTCCTTCACCCCTTGAGAAGACAAGCAATTTGATACAAATTATACACATGAAGTCATATACAACATATTTCCATCTTAGTCATGTTGCAAAAGGAAACATACCAAAAAAAAAACACAAGAAAAATTTTTTAAAGTTTAAAAACTATGCTTCAGTCTGCACTCAAAGTTCATCAATTCTCTCTCTGGAGATGGGTAACATTTTTCATCATGGATCCTTTGGAATTGTCATGGCTCATTGTCTTGATCAGAGTAACTAAGCCTTTTACAATTGATCATCTTACAATATTGCTGTTACTGTGTGCAACGTTCTTTCTCCTGGTTCTGCTCCCTTCACTTTGCATCTGTGCGTATAAGATTTCCTAAGTGTTTTCAAAGTCATCCACCTTGTCATTTCTTATAGCATAATAGTATTCCACACAATCATATATCACAGCTTGTTTACCCATTCCTCAATTGGTGGGCATTGCCTCAATTTCCAGTTCTTTGCCACCACAAAAAGAACTGCTATAAATTTTAAAAAAAAAAAGAATCTTAAGCCATATTAAGAAACCGCGTCTAGAACAAAAGAAGTAATAGCCCTGTTGCACTCTGTGAGACCACATTTAGAATACTGTGTTCAGCTCTGGTGCCATGTTTTATTTTTAAAATTTTTATTGCTGTCTTTTGCTTTTCATCACTTTTAATTACAAATATATCCTTTGCTTTTTCCTCCCCAGAAAGCCATTTTTTCCCCTGATAACAACACTTCTTTCTGAACTGAGAAATGTGCATTTTCTATCTCTTTTTGAGGTTTAGGCCTGATTTTTACAATTACATAGTCTTTGGCTTCATTTTTTTTATTGTGGTCATTGTATATGTTGTTTTCCTTGTCTGCCTACTTCACTTTGTATCAATTTATACAAGTCTTCCTCTGCGTTCTTTGTAGTCATTGCTTCTTACGGCACCGTAATACTTGATTAAATTCACATATCACAATTTGTTTAACCATTTTCCAATTGATGAAAATTCCCACCTCATTTCCATTTCTTAGCTCTTACTAACTGTTATGTTATATAGATACTCCTCAGCTGGTGAACAGCTAAATAAATTGTACAGTACATTAATTTAAAAGAATATTAAATTAGTAATATTAATATTAAATGGTATACTATTAAAATTATATAAAAATAGTATACTATAAGAAATGACAAATATAAAGAATTTTAAAAAGCCTGAGGAAGACTGCATATGCTAATGCAAACTGAAATAAGCAGAACCAAGTAAACAATATACATGATGACTACAAATATTAATTGAAAGGGGGAAAAAAGCAAAGCAAAACGGAATGCTTTTTAATTATAATGATCAAGTTTGGCCACAAAGGAGAGAGGAAATAAAAATTTACCTCCTTCCCTTCTGTGCAGAAGTTGGGGGACTAAGGATTTAAAACATTCCAATCTAATCCAATGCAATAAATATTTATTAAGTGCCTACTATGTGCCAGGTACTATGCTGAGTGCCTGGGATACAATTAGTAAAAAAGAAAGACAATCCTTGCCCTCAAGGAGCTTACAGTGTAAAAGGGGAAGCAGCACACAAAAGGAGACAGGAAAAGGGGGTGGAGGGGAACAGGACACCAGAGAGTACCCAGGGTCAGGGCATCTTATTCTGTGGAGTTGAAACCAGGCAGAGCAGCAGATGCAAACTGGAGAGAGTACATTGAACATACTAAGACTTGGTCTATTGGTTACCTGTGCTGATCTTTTTATTTCTGTTTTATTCATGGTTACTAGGGATGGCTCCTTCAGAAGGGGAGAGGAGAGGAATATTTTGGAGTCTCCTTAACCTCTCTGTAGCCTTTGACATCGTTGATCACTCTCTCCTTCTTGATACTCTCTTCTCTAGGTTTTCCAGACACCACTCTCTCCAAATTCTCCTCTGCTTATCTAACTGCTTCTTTTCTGGCTCTTTTACTGGATCCTCTTCCAAATCACATCCTCTAACTGTATGTTGTCCCTTAAGGTTCTCTCCTGGGCCCTCTTCTCATCTCCCTCTATACTACTTCACTTCGGTGATCTCAGCAGTTCCCATGGATTTAATTACCATCTCTATGCTGATGATTCTTAAATCTACCTATCCTGCCTCAAACTCTCTGCTAACCTCCAATCTCACATCTTCAAGTGCCTCTCATACACCACGAACTGGATGTCCAGTAGAATCTCAAATGGTAATCATTATCTTTGCCTCTAAATTCTCCCCTCCTCCTGCCTTCTCTAACTGTTGAGAAAAACACTCTCTTCCCAGTCCCTCAGGCTTACAACCTAGGAGTCAGCCTAGATTCCTCACTGTCTTTCACACTCCCTACCCTTCCAATATCTAAGCTGTTGTCAAGGCCTATCAATTTCACCTTCACAACATCTTTCCAATATACCTCCTTCTCTCCTCTGACATTGCCTCCACCCTGGTGCAGGCCCTTATCACCTCACACCTGGACTATTTCAGTAGCCTGCTGGTAGCTCTGCTTGCCTCAAGTCTCTTCCCACTCCAATCCATCCTCCATTCAGCCACTGAAGTGATTTTCCTAAGTTGCAGGTCCACCTTACTAGTAAACTCGGGTGGCTTCCTATTGCCTCCAGGATCAAATACAAAATGGTCTGTTTGGCATTCAAAGCCCTTCAGAACCTAGCCCACTCTTAACTTTCCAGTCTTTTTATACTTTACTCCCTAACACATACTCTTTGATCCAGTGATGTTAGCCTTGTGGCTCCTCCACAAATAAGACACTCCATCTCTCAGCTCTGGGCATTTCCTCTGGCTATCCCCCATGCCTGGAATTCTCTCCCTCCTCCTCCTCTCTGACTACTGACCTCCCTGGCTTCCTTTAAGTCCCAGCTAAAATCCTACCTTCTCCAGGAAGCCTTCCCCAACCTCTCTTAATTTCAGTGTCTTTCAGTTAACCCCAATTGCCTAAAAACAAAAAGCAAAACAAACAAACAAATTTCAGTGTCTTTCCTTTGTTAATTATTTCCCATTTATCCCATATGTATTTTTGTTTGTTGTCTCCTCCATTAGACTGTAAACTCCTTGATGGCAGGAACTGTCTTTTGCCTCTTTTTTTATCCCCAGAACTTTTGTATCACAGTTCCTGCCACATAATAGGCATTTAATAAATGTTCATTGACTGGGCAGAGATTCTGAGAAGGGGTCCATAGGCTCTACCAAACTGCCAAAGAGATCCATTAAGAAAGTTAAGAACCTTTGACTTAAGGGGAACACAGTGACTGTTTTCAAGTACTTGCAGAGCTGTGGTATGAAATAAGGATTGTATTTGCTCCCCTTGAAGAAATTAAGAAGAGTTGTTGGTAATTTCAGAAAGGAAGGTTTCTGCTCTAAGGATTAAAAAGCTTCCCAGCAATTAGAACTACTCAAAAATGGCACAGTCTTCTTCAAAAAGTAGTTAGTTTCAGGGCAGCAAGGTGGTGCAGTGGATAGAGCACCAGCACTAGAGTCAGGAGGACCTGAGTTCAAATATGGCCTCAGACACACTTGACGTTTACTAGTTGTATGACCCTTGGCAAGTCCCTTAACCCCATTGCCTAGCTAAAAAAAAAAAATTAAAAAAAGTAGTGGGTTTCCTTCCCTAGACATCTTCAAGTGGATAACTGTGATATCTTGCCTAACCTCTCTGATTTGGAGGTTCTCTCAGACACATAAGATTCACCTGTAGCAGGCTTCCACTGTTCTAGACCCACTGCCAAGTCCCCTTTTCTGGAAACTTCCATATGCCATGGTTACTTTCCTTATTTGAGCATCTTCCTGCATGTGACATCAGATTGGAATACAGTTGAGACCCCCCTCCCTAGAAAACCCATGAGCTTTGCTTTCCTTATGATGCTATCTGAGCAGTATGGAGGAAAACTTAATGGAACATGGTGGGCCAAGCCCAAGAACAGTCTTTTGGGTTGACTGAAGATTCTGGAGAAAGACCCCATCAATGACTGAGCTTCAGTTGTATCTACCCTCTCCAGCAGCTAAAACCTGGTAGTATTGGTATTAAAAATTTTAGCTGAAAGGGATCTTTTTTTTTTAATATATGGAACCACATACAGTTTACTTTTGAAAATTACACATCTACTTTAACAGGGTAGAATAAACATTATTCTTGTCCATGTCTTCTTCTAAGCTTCCATCTACTTTCTTTTATTTTTTTTAATATAAATTTATTTATTTTTAGTTTTCAACATTCACTTCCACAAGTTTTTGAGTTCCAAATTTTCACCCCATCTCCCCCCCCCAAGATGCATGATTCTGAATATCCCTTCCCTAGTCTGTCCTCTCTTCTATCTCTCTCCCCTTCTCTTATCCCCTTCCCCTTCTGTTTTCCTGTAGGGCAGGACATACTTCTGTACCCCATTTCCTGTATTTCTAATTTCCCAGTAGCATGTGAAAACATTTTTTTAAAACATGTATTTTTTAAACTTTAGGTTTCAAATTTTCTCTCTTCCTCCCTCCCCACCCACCCTCATTGAAAAGGCAAGCAACTCAATATAGGCTGTACATGTGCCGTTATGCAAAACACTCCATAGTAGACATGTTGTGAAAAACTAACTCTATTTCCCTTAATCCTCTCCTGCCCTCCCATTTATTCTTTCTTTTGACCCTGTCCCTCCTCAGAAGTATTTACTTCTGATTACCCCTTTCCCAATCTGCCCTCCTCTCTATCATCCCCCTGTTCTCTTGTCCCCTTCTCCCCCTATTTTCCTGTAGGGTAAGACAGATTTCCATACCCAATTGAATGTGTATGTTATTCCCTCCTTAAGCCAAATCCTATGAGAATAAGATTCACTCATTCCCTCTCACTTCCCCCTTTCCCCTCCACTGTAAGAGACTTTTCTTTTTTTTTTGTGAGATAATTTACCCCATTCTACCTCTCCCTTTCTTCTTCTCCGAGTATAATCCTCTCTCATCCCTTAATTTTATTCTCCAGATATGACCCCTTAATCTTCAACTCACCCTGTGCCCTCTATCTATCTATCTACATATACATACATATAATTTTTTTCCTCCAACTACCCTAATACTGACAAAGGTCTCATGAGTTATAAATATCATCTTTCCATGCAGGAATGTAAACAGTTCAATCTTAATAAGTCTCTTATGATTTCTCTTTCCTGTTTACCTCTTCATGTTCCACTTGAGTCCTGTATTTGAAAGTCAAATTTTCTATTCAGCTCTGGTCTTTTCATCAAGAATGCTTGAAAGTCCTCTATTTCACTGAATGACCATTTTTTCCCCTGAAGGATTATACTCAGTTTTGCTGGGTAGGTGATTCTTGGTTGTAATCCTATCTCCTTTGCCCTCCGGAATATTATATTCCATGCCCTGCGGTCCTTTAATGTAGAAGCTGCTAAATCTTGTGTTATCCTGATTGTGTTTCCACAGTACTTGAATTGTTTCCTTCTGGCAGCTTGTAATATTTTCTCCTTGACCTGGGAACTCTGGAATTTGGCTATAATATTCCTAGGAGTTTTCCTTTGGGGATCTCTTTCAGGAGGAGATCTGTGGATTCTTTCAATTTCTATTTTGCCCTCTGGTTCTATATATCAGGGCAGTTTTCCTTGATAATTTCTTGAAAGATGATGTCTAGGCTCTTTTTTTGATCATGGCTTTCAGATAGTCCAATAATTTTTAAATTCTCTCTCCTGGATCTATTTTCCAGGTCAGTTGTTTTTCCAATGAGATATTTCACATTGTTTTCTAATTTTTCATTCTTTTGGATTTGTTTACTGTGTCTGATTTCTCATAAAGTCACTATCTTCCAATTGCTCTATTCTAATTTTTAAGGAAGTATTTTCTTCAGTAATCTTTTGGACTTCCTTTTCCATTTGGCCAATTTTTCTTTTTAGGGCATTTTCTCCTCATTGGCTTTTTGGACCTCTTTTGCCATTTGGGTTAGGCTATTTTTTAAGGTGTTATTTTCTTCAGTATTTTTTTGGGTCTCCTTTAGCAAGCTGTTGACTTGTTTTTCATGATTTTCTTGCATCACTCTCATTTCTCTTCCCAGTTTTTCCTCTACTTCCCTTACTTGCTTCTCAAAATCCCTTTTGAGCTCTTCCAAGGCCTGGGACTGATTCATATTTTTCTTGGAGGCTTTGGATGTAGGAGCTTTGACTTTGTTGTCTTCTTCTGGTTGTATATTTTGATCTTCTTTTCACCAAAGTAAGATAATATAGTCTGACTCTTTTTGCGCTGCTTGCTCATGATCCCAGCCAATTACTTGAGTTTTAAACTCTTTGTTAAGGTAAGAGTCTGCTTCCAATGTGGAGAATGTACTGTCCCAAGCTTCAGGGGGTTTGTACAGCTGTTTTCAGAGATACTTGTAGGGCCTGTAAATTTTCAGTTCTTCCAAGGTGGTATGATAAGGGGCAGGTGTTTACTCCTTTCCTGGCCTGCGATACAAGTATTCCTTTCTGTCCTGTAACTGTGAGGAGGGGTCCTCTCCACAGCCACTACAAGCTCCACCAAGCCAGCACTCCTCCTCATCCCAGCACCGCTGCCCAGAACTCTGACCCAGATCCAAACACGGGCAAAGCAAGAGATTCCTGTCTCAGCACTGGCAAAGAGATCCCTGCAATCCCTCTCTGATCAGCCACTGGATTCCCCCTCAGTCTGTGGGCTGGAAGCTCAGGAAGCAGCTGCCCCTCCCCCACAAGGCCACACTCTTGGGGAATGGAGCTGAAACCCCTCCTTCCTCTCTTAGCACTGCAGAAACAGACTTTTCCTACTGACCTTCTTAATTGTCTTTGGCATTGGTGGATTGAGGAGTCTGGAAACCTCCACAGCTGCCCACGATTCAGTCCTCTGAGGCCTGCTCCAGTTTTGCTGCGGCCTGTAGGCCCACACTGCGCTCCCAGCCTGGCGTGATACACCTTTCTGATCAATCATCCAGGTTGTCTTGGGCTGGAAATTTGTTTCACTCTGTCTTTTTGTGGGTTCTGCTGCTTCAGAATTTGTTCAGAGCCATTTTTTATGAATATTTGCAGGGGTTTAAAGGAGAGCTGAAGCAAGTCACTGCTTTCACTCTGCCATCTTGGCTCCGCCTCCTGGAAGGGATCTTAAAGAATATCTAGTCCAATCTTCCCTTCCTCTTTTTACAGAGAGGGAAGCTGAGGTGTAAGGAGGTTAAGTGCCCTTTCCAGGGTCACAGTAGGATTTGAATCCAAGTCCTTCGATTCCAAATCTAATGTTCTCTCTATCCATCATGCTGCTTCTGCCCCAAATTTCCCTTCCTTGTTATATATTCCTCCATCACTTGACTCAACTTGTCTCATTTTAAGGCTAGAGTCTTCCCTTGTGTTAGCTAACCTTACACACTTGCACTTACACACCTTAGTTTCCTTATGCATTCTTGGCCTGTCTGATTTTCTTTTGGGTCCCAAAGTTTCCAAACTAGTGGCTCTGACTGTGATAATAGCAGCTTATCTACATGTCTTAGTGTAGAGTTTTATTCAGGTATGGATTGGACCCTGTGACCTCAGAAGTGGAATTTTTTTTTGACTGAAATTCCATGGTTCTGTTGTTTCGGAGACAAAGTCTCAGCTTCTTTCAGCTGTTTTTTTATCATTGTAATTGACATACTGAGGGGAAGAAATGTTAATAGTAAATAAGAAATTGTGGTGGGGAGGAAAGGGAAAGGGAGGAAAGGAGAAGCCTTTGAGTCCAGGAAGCAGGAAAAGATGGACTTATATAGACTCTCCTTTCTCTACTCTCACAACAGATAATATTCAAATTAAGATAGCAGTTAAAGGTAGGAATCTCAAACCCTCATCCTTATCTAGGCCCAGATGCTTATGGCTCACCCCCAAGACACATAATCCTTTATCTAGTCATTCAGATGAATTTGCGATGGATTTAATAAGTCTTTGTGAAGAGAAATAAAGATTCCAACAGTAGATATTTGTCCAAAAGAATCTATGATACAGACTTAGAGTAAGCATGCAGACTACACATGTGTTAACCTATGTCAAATTGCTTGCCTTCTCAATGGGGAAGGGGGAGGGGAGGGAAGTAGAGAATTTGGAACTCAAAATTTAAAAAAAGAATGTTAAAATTGTTTTTACATGTAATTGGGGAAAAATAAATTATAAAATTTATATATATAAATTATAAAATAAATAAATTAAAATTAAAATAAATTACCAACTCAAAAAAAATGTAGGCATGCAATTTGAGTTGGAAATTACTGGTTCAGGGAATGAGATGTGATAGAAATCTCAGTGCTAAGTCATTGATTCCTCTGTTGTATTTTGTGTGCTCAGCATATCAAGCGGCTTTAGCTCTGGGCCAAGACCCATCCAATGATTGCAATGACAGCCAAAGAACTGTCCGAATTGTGGCTCAGAGGCGTGGACAGAATGAGCCAGTTTTGGGTGTGGAGTACCGGCAACGCAAGATTACTATCCAGAACCGTGAGTGACCCACAAAATGTCCAGAATTAGTAGCTGACAAGACTGAGGAAGGGACAGCTAGGTGGTGCAATGAATAGGGCACTGACCCTGGAGTCAGGAAGACCTGAATTCAAATGTGGCCTCAGACTCTTGACACTTACTAGCTGTGTGACCCTGGGCAAGTCACTTAACTCCAGTTACCTTGGGGGGAAGAAAAAGACTGAGAAGTAGATCCTGATGAGCACAGTGACCTAATGGAAACCCAAATGGCCAAATCAGGCTGTGTTTCCCTTTTTCAATTCATTGAGTGCAGTCAGACTACTTGATGTTGGTTGTGTTGGTTTGAGTTAAGAGCTCAAGTGCAGGATCTGGAATCAGAAATACCTGACTTCAGATCTTGTCTCAGGCATGTTTATTAGCTGTATGACCCTGGGCAAAATTACTGGAGCACTAGCTTCTTTATCTGCAAAAATGAAGGAGTTGGATTCAGTGGCTTTCTTAGGTCTTTCTAGCCCTAAATCTATGATCCTGTGAAATCATTTTACAGGAGAAAACTGAAGCCCAGAGAGGGTTGATGACTTGCCCCTTGGCAAGAACCAAAGGTACTGAAGATTCTGGAGAAGGGACACTATGAATGACTGAGACTCAGTTATATCTGCCCTCTCCAGCAACTAAAACTTAGTGTTGGTATTATAAATTTTGAACTGGAAAGGATCTTAAAGAATATTTAGCGCAACCTTCCCTTCCTCATTTTACGATGAGAGAAACTGAGGCCTAAGGAGGTTAAGTGACCTACCTGGGTTCACACAAATGGTAAATGTTAGCAGTAGGATTTGAATCCAGGTCCTTTGATGCCAAATCCAATGTTCTTTTTATGCATCATGCTGCTTCTGCCCCAAACTTCCCTGCCTCGTGGTATTTGAAACCTGGCTCTCTGCCTCCAAATTCGGTCTTCTTTCCATCTTACCACACTGGTTTAATATTCCTGGCACATTGTAGGTACTCTGTAATTATGTGTCAAATAAATGCATGGAGAGACAAATCCTTTTAAGGGATAAAACTACTTCTACAGAATGTAGAAGTAAACGAACTATATGAAGGTTGATACTTTACAGATACAAAGTCACTAAATCCAACTTGAGTCAGTTTAACTTGACAATCTGATTCTTTACCTTTGGGGGCCTTTTTCTTCCCAGAGGAAGAAAAACTCTTAATGTCAGTCCATTGGGGTGACTCAGTCTTTACCTTCTGGAATCCTGGTAAACCCCTACTTTCAGATTGGAAACTACCCTCTTCAGGGTCTCCTGAGCCCCAATCTGGTTGTTTTCCTATATTGGAGGTATTTAACAAGTCACAGAAAGATCGAATAGGAGATCAAGACTTAAATTGGATCCTAGATATTCACTGCCTATGTGACCTTGGGCAAATAGTATCACCTATCTGGGCCTCTGTTTTCTCGTTTATAAAACAGGAATAATTTATAATATTAACCTCACTGGATTCTTACAAGGAAATAATAAAAACTGTAAAGCAGTATATGAATTATTATTATTGTTGTTGAGAAGTGAATAGAGAGTCAGCCTCAGAGCCAGGAAGACCTGGTTTAAGTCTCTTTCCTGATACGTACTGGCTGTGGGACCCTGGGTAAGTCACTTAACATCTCTCTGCAGCTCTCTAAGTTCCAGAGAAGATGCTGACTTGCAGTATGGAGAGAGTTTCCACATTTTGATGTTCCCTTTTAGCTAATGAAATCAAAAGTCCACTTCCTATCTACCTCTGTCTTTATTGTCATAACCTTTGTGCCAGAGGCTCTCACATGACAAAGTTCCCTGGTGCATTTTGTGGGGTTTCCCATCTCTCTGACTGGTTGTCCTCACCTACAGAATCTGAGAAATTCATATGTGTGGTCATCCAGTGAGCAGGTACTTTACAGTGTGTTGTTTCCAATCTCCTTGCCAAGTACACGTGTCACGAAATTCAGAAAAGAAAAGCTTTATTTATAGGCTGAAAAAATATAGAGAGTTCAGAGAAAATAAAAGCAGCTGACGCCAGTGGACAGTTCTGCTCTCTACTCTCGACAACCTCACTGAGTCATGTACGGTCGTGTATTAGCTAGGACTAGTATTACCTCTCTCGGCTCGTCCGCAGCTGGCATGGCTCCTCCTTTGTTTACAGATCACTCCCATCCACTGGTCTTGGTCCTACTCCTTATTGTTCCTCTGGCATTACTAGACCTTAGCCAGTAACAAACCCATTTGTGTCTTGGGTCCTGTCCTAGCACTACAGAGAAGTTTACCATTCTCAGCAGGAAATCAGAATTTTCTCTTGCAGCTTTAATACAGTGGCAGCCCTGAGACCTCTGCTCAATATTCTCTCCCTTTCATTAATGCTCCTCTCACCAATCTCTGCCCTCCCACTGCTCAGGGGTGTTTGCTCTGTCTTTTTCATTTCTAAGTCTCTGGTGTAAGTTCTCAATAGTAGGTTAGTACACTCTTAACTCCAATGCCTGATGTTCTCTTTCATTCTGGTATCTAAAAAGAGTGTCTCCCACCTAAGAGAGCCCTCCCTGTCAGTTCAAAGCTTAACAAAAGCATCCCCATTGTCTCTTCTAGGCTCCTTGGGTCTCCAGGGAATGGAACAGGGGCTGGGTTGGCAGGATTTGGTTGGGGGTGGCCAACAGCTAGGCATGGTTTCTGAAACAGTTAGAGCCCTGCGGGTGGAGGAAGCTGCACATTCACCAGAAAATACGGTTCACTGGGGGACTGACGAGGTGGTGGGGTGGGGTGGGGGGAACAATCTTCACTGTCATTGTTGCTATTATTTAGGCCTCCTTTACCTAGATCCTTTCAGGTTAGGAAAAACCTCTGCTCATTAACCTAACTCTTAACTCGTTTCTCTCTGAACAGTTATCAATTGCAGACCTCAATCAAATTGCCCCTCTTCCTCTTTCTTCTACCCTTTTTAAAAAATGTCTTTTCCCTTGCCTCTCCAGCCCCTTTCTGGAGCCCTTTCCCTCTGTTCTGCTTTTTGTTTTCTGTTGTTCTTTCATCTTGGCTGATTTTAAAATTACCTCCCCTAAATCCCACTTCTATTGCTGTGACCCTAAGGTAATTTTTTAGTTCTATAATAAGAAGTCAGGGGTATGCTTTATATACACCTATACTGGGAGTGAAATATTTCACCAGACTCAAAATACCTTCACCCCTGTTCTATCCTTGAGGCCATGTGTGGCCTCGTAGGTCCTTGAGTGCAGCCTTTTGACTGACTCCAAACTTCACAGAACAAATCCTTTTATTAAGGAGATTTGTTCTGTGAAATTTGGATTCAGGCAAAGGACCACACTTGGGGTCCTAGAGGGCCACATGTGGCCTCGGGGCTGCAGGTTCCCTACCCCTGCCTAGGCTCTTGGGCCTCTCTCTTCCTATACCAAAGTTCTACAGATTCTTTCACTGCAGTAAAAAAGGATACTAAACTTTTCCCTCAGAAGGCCTGAGTTCAAGCCCTGGCTCCAGTGCTCACTATCTCAGTGACCTTAGGCAAATCACACAAGTCTTCCCAGTTTCGGGACTTGCAATTACATCAGGCTGCCTCTCATAAAATGACTTCTATGTTTGAAAACAAACAAACAAACAAAAAACCACTTTGCAAATTGTGGAATAATATGCAAATGTGGGGTATTATGTAAACACCTGGTTTATATTGTTCAGTCATTTTTCAGTAATGTCTGACTTTTCATGACCATATTTTGGGTTTTCTTGGCAAAGATACAGGAGTGGTTTGCCATTTCCTTCTCCAGCTCATTTTACAGGTGGGGAAACTGAGGCAAACAAACAGGGTTAAGTGACTTGCCCAGGATCACACAGCTAGGAAATGTCTGAGGCCAGATTTGAACTCAGGAAGAAGAGTCTTCCTGACTCGAGGCCCAGCACTCTATTATTGCACTGCCTAACCCCCATCTTGGTGTGTATGAATGAGGTACTAACTAAATGTTGAATTTGTTGGACTCCAGCCCTTGTACACTAATATTTATTGACCTAAATAAGCACAGAAGTAGATTCTCACTCAAGTTTAGATCTTTGGGGTATCTCTTTAAGATCATGGGACTTTCAAGAGTCAACATGACATATTGGATAGGACCCTAGATTAAGAGTCAACAAGATCTGGTTTCAAATCCTGCTTAACAAACTGTGTGACCTTGGGCAAGTGAACCTCCCTGCACTTCAGTTTCCTGTAAAATGAGAGTGTTAGACTCAATGGATCTGATGTTCCTTCCTGCCCTAAATCTGTTCTCCTATAATCAGATGAAGTCCTTTGAGGCAGCTAGGTGGGTACAGTGGATAGAACTCTGGGCCAGCAGTCAAGAAGACCTGAATTCAAATTTGGCATCAGATACTTTCTACTTGTGTGACCCTGGGCAAATCACTTAACTTCTCTCTGCCTCAGTTTCCTCAACTGTAAAATGGGAATAATGATAGCATCTACCTCCCAAGGTTGTTGTGAAGATTAAATAATAATATTTATAAAGTGTTTAGCACATTGCCTGGAACATAGTAGGCACTTGATAAATGTTTATTTTCTTCCTTCCGTCTAAGGAAGAAAGCTCTTATTTATTACTAATTATTTTATTATCATTATTTATTAATGTATTAATAACAAGACTTGTAAGCTCCTGTTACTAAGAGCTCTTTTTACAGGTGTGGAAACTGAGAGGCAGAGAAATTAAGAGGTGAGCCCACAAGGTCACTCAGGTAATAAGTAGCCAAATTGTAGGTTTTAATTTTAACCCTTTAACCCCAGATGGAGTGTGGTTTTCTCTGTACCAAAATGTGTCTTTTACATAGATAACATTCACTTTCAAAATACCTTCTGCTCAGGTCAACAAATATGTATTGACCCTGTACCGTGTTTTAGGGGAGTAAGGTGGTCTTTGCCCTCTGAGACCGCACAAGCTAATACTCCACTCAAGAACTGAGCACACTTCTTCCAGCTGATGAAGTTCACTAACTTGTATGCCTTCAGGGTCTAAGATTCTCCTCTCAGCACATGCTCTTTGTTTAAGATTTTTTTCATTTGTTCAGTCCTTTCTGACTCTTTGGGAACCAGTTTTGGATTTTTCTTGGCAAAGATAGTTATTTACTATTTCTTTCTCTGGCTCATTTTATAGATGAGGAAACTGAGGCAAACAGGGTTAAGTGCCTGTGTGATTGCCTAGAATCACACAGCTAGTGTGATTCACCTGAGGCTGGATTTGAATTCAGATCTTCCTGATGCCAGGCCTACTTTCATCACCTAGTTGTCCTTTGTTTAAGACACTGTCAGCAAAGAAAGTGCTGTCAGAATATAGTACAGGGTGAAGAATACTGATTCTGATGGCAAAGGACCTGGGTTCAAATCCCATCTCTGATCCTTACTACCTTTGTGATTTTGGGCAAGTCACTTAGCCCTTTCTGGTCATCAGTTCCTCATCAATAAAATGAGGGGTTGGACTAAATAATGGTCCCTATGGTCCTTTTCAGATCTACATCTGTGATCCTATGATGGAAAAAAAAAATTTTTCTGCTGCGTTCAAAGAAAAAGGAGAGTAAGTGCTTGGGAGAAAATTTTTTTTAAGGAAAAAGCCTAGGGCATTAAAGATTCTTACAGGATTTGGAAAGACAATGTAGAAGATTCAGTCTCTTCTCTTGACTAGCCTGTTTCCTCTCTTCCTCTTGCTTCACAGGAGCAGATCTTGTGATTAATGAGGTGATGTGGTGGGACCATGGAGTCTATTACTGTGCCATCGAGGCTCCAGGGGACACCTCAGGAGACCCAGATAAGGAAGTGAAGCTCATTGTTCTCCGTAAGTCCTGTGTTTTCTTTCCTCTGTGGCTGTCTGTCACCAATCCTCTTCAGGTTTGTTTTTGTTTTTTTTGTGAAGCAATTGGTGTTAAGTGATTTGCCTAGGGTCACACAACTAGTGTCAAGTGTCTGAGGTCAGATTTGAACTCAGGTTGTCCTGACTCCAGGGCTGGTGCTCTGTCCACTATATCACCTACTGCCCCCCTGATACCTTTTTTTTTTTTTGAAACCTCAAAGGCAGGTCCATGGATAGATTTCAAGGAGTCTGTAAATATAGATGAAAAAAAATTGCAGCTTGATTTCAATATAATTGGTTTCCTTAGAAATTACATGTATTTTATTTTATGCATTTAAAAGCATTATTCAGAGATGGATCCATAAGCTTCACCAGACTGACAAAGCAGACATGACACAAACAAGGGTGAGAAGTCTTGCTCGAAGGTTCGGCTCATTGAATGATTAGGTATAACAGTATCCTCTTTTAGTGTTAGTGTGTACCTCACCCAGCTTAGAGGGGAAAACTTATGTTTAGTGCATAGATCACAGCTAGAGCTAGAAGGAACCTCAGAGACCCTTAGTCCAACACTAGTTTTTTAATGTAACTTTTATTTTATATTCTTTTTTTTTTCAATTAACAAATATATATCCCTCTCACATACCCCCATTGGAAAAAAGAAAGGGGGAAGGAGAAAGAAAAAGAAAAGAAGACAAGACCCTTGCAACAGAAGTACAGTCAAACAAAACAAATTCCTGCCTTGGCCATGTCCATTAAAAATCTGTCTCGTGCATCTCCAGTTTATCATCTCTTGCTCAAGAGGCTAATGGTATGCTTCTTCACTAGCCCTTTGGCATCATGCTAATCCTTTGATTTTACAGAGGAGAAAACTGAGGCTCAGAGATGTTGAGAGACTTGCTTAAGGTCACATGGTTAATAAGGGTCAGAGGCAGAATTTGAAGCCAGGTCCTGTTTCTAGAGCCAGGGCTCTGTCTACTGTATCACTTTTCTCATAGAATTTTGGGAAGGGACCTTAGAGGTGGTCTAAGGCAACCCTTAGTCATTTCACAGTTGAAGAATCAAAGACCCAAAAGGGTGAGGTGACATCTCCAAAGTTGTATAGGGAGTTAATGGCAGAAATGAGACTAGAACCTAGGTGTCCAGACTTCCCTACATCACTGCCTCCCACAGAGTACAAACTGAGTATCCTATTGAAAAAAAAAAAAAGGAAGTTTTACAATAATAATAATCCTGAAGGTGTTTCCAATGGGCCTACATAAGATGAGTTTATAACTAGATATTTTTATTCAATTACAAAAAAATAGCCCCTTTATCCACTTGTGCACATTTTAAAAAAATTTTTGATAGCTAGATAATGACTTTTCCCAGGACAATTTCTATCTGAACTCCATTGAAAAAGATGAATAATAATTGCAATAGCTACTTCTTAGGTGATTCAGGTATGATTATCTCCATTTAAAATATAAGTAAATGAACTCAGTTCAAGTGACTTGCTTGAAGTAACACACGCCTTTTGAATGCAAATCCTTTGTCCTTTCTACCATGCCACCAAGCCAATGTGGTCAGGGTAGAAAAATGCAAAAGGAAAAGTTTCATATTCATATCCCCAACTACTAAGTGGCGTAGGTAGCGGTGAGAGCTCTGGGGCTTGAGGTCAAGAGACTTGGGTTCCAGTGCCATCTCAGATATTAACTGTGTCATCAGGGGCAGGTCACTTAACCTCTCATTTCCTCATCTGTTAAATGGAGATGATACTTGCACTATCTTCCTTTCCAGGTAAATGTGAGGAAAACACTTTCAAAATTTTATAGAACTTATCTAAGTATATTATGTAGCTGTATAATTTGGAATTATATTTAACTATATAAATTGGAGTCATTCAATAAATTAGTCAATGAACAGGCATTTATTAAATGCCATTATCAGGCATTTGAGATACAAACACAAAAAGAAAAAAAAAAGAAACTTTATTTAATGATAATTGTTAATTTATGGTTTTGTGGTCCCAAAGTTCATTTGTAAGCCAGTTATTTCAAACTCAGAACACTTTTTTTTCTTGGAAAAATTGTTACAAGCAGTGGTTAAGTTCCTAAGTTGTCTACTAAAGACTTTTTGGAGTAGATAGTGTACTTATGATACTATTTAACTGTCATGAAAATAGTACAAAATAATGCTGCAGCATGCTAGTAATTTTTTTTTAAAGCAGAGATACAGTGCAATTGAGTAAGAAAATTTCTAGGTGAGTAACCTGGGGTCCAGAGAACTTACATGACTTACATGTAATCATACTTTAAATGTTTCTACCTTCTGTCTCCTTGGCTCAGTCCTGAGCCTTCCTACTATTTTCCACCAGCTTAAGGAGAACTGATAGCCCATTTCTGGTTTGTCAGGTATGACCTAATGTTACTGGCACCTCTAAGCAATAGGAAGGGCATACTTATCTCAGAAGGATCTTCACAGGAGATAAGAAAAAGGCAAGTGAAAAGGACATAGGGAGAAGTTGGGTCACAGTTAGTCAATCAAGCATTTATTAAGTGCCAACTATATACCAGGCACTGTGCTAAGTGCTGGGGATACAAAGAAAGGAAAAAAGATGGCTCCTGCTCTCAAGGAGTTCATAATCTATTGGGGGAAACAATATGAAAACAACTATGTAGACAGAGGGAAGATATTACCCTCAAGGGAGATCAGAAAAGGCCAGAAGATGGGATTTTAGCTGTGATTTGAAGGACCCCAGAGAAGGAAGGGAAATGAGGAGGAAGAGCATTCCAGGTGTGGGGAATAGATCATAGGAGCATAGGGTTATAGATTTATAACTGGAAAAGTTCTTGGAGGTCATTGAGAATACCACCTTATTTTCTAGATGGGGAACCTGAAGCTGAGAGAGATTAAATAACTTATCTAGAGTCACAAAGCTATATCTGGGAATAGGAAAAAAAAAAGTATGGTAGAAAGTTGGGGGAAGTGTCAGTTATTGGGCAGAGTTGTGGTTGTGTTGTGTGGTTTGTCCTTTGCTCTCAAAGAGAACCATGACATCAGGGAGATGATGACATGACTTGCAAATGACTTTGATTTGAGTGAGGGAGGGCTATGCAAAGTCACCAGCCTCACTTTCTCCTCAGGTGGCCAGATATCAGTCAGGACAACTGGAGATGGCTCAGGATGTAGTGGGGGACCTTAGCCCTCTTAAGCTCAGGTCTTTTCAGGTTCTCACTTTAATCGAGGCAACACCCATTCAGTCAATATGCCTCTTTAAGAAATGAGTCAAGGGGGGGCAGCTAGGTGGTGCAGTTGGTAGAGCACCAGCCCTGGAGTCAGGAGGACCTGAGTTCAAATCTGGCCTCAGACATATAACACTTACTAACTGTGTGACCCTGGGCAAGTCATTTAACCCCATTGCCTAAAATAACAACAACAAAAAAAAAGAAAGAAGAAAGAAAGAAATGAGTCAAGGGATGGACCCTTTAATAAAAAAAAAAAACCTCCAACTGGGAGGGCAAGACCCTCAGGGTTGCTGGCCAAAAGAGAAACAGTTGCTATTTACCATCACTCTGAGCCCAAAAAAGAACCATTAATAGTGGTTGGTCAGGGACCTATTGTCCAAACCATGAAATCAAGAGTAAATTGGGTTTAAGGCTTGGTCTTTGAGAAAGAAATCTAGGAGGGGAGGGGATGAGCTGAGTTGCCCAAGTGAAACTGGCCAGCAGGGTCCCCATCCAGGCAGCTCAGACTACTCACAGGTTATGGTTTGTCCTTCCTTCTTGAAGAGGACCATGACATCAGGGAAAGGATGACATGACTTACAACTGACTTTGATTTGAGTGAAGGAGAACTATGCAAAGTCAGCAACCTCAATTTCTCCTCCAGAGCCATCTGGGTCCAGTGGCCAGATATCAATCAGGATGAAGATGGCCAAGGATGCCATTGGGGAGGGACATATTTGGGGCTCCCTTGCTTTCCCTTGTGCCTGCTCCTTCTTTCTCTAAATCACTCTTTCTAAAAAAAATTAAGGGAAATTAAAATTATTTCAATTAGCAAGCATTTCTTTTAATTTTAATTAATAAAAAGTAATTTTCTCTTCCAGCTCCTTCCATTACAAAAAAAAGGAAAAGAAAAACAAACCCTTGTAGTAAATATATATTGTCAATCTGCATAAGCCACGTCCTAAAAATCTGTATCTCATTCTGTGGCCCAGATCTAGCACTCTCTGTTAGGAGGTGGGTATCACAATGGCTTCGTTGGTCCTCTTCAATTTTGTGAACCGTATTGTCCTGCTATGAAATTGCTTTTTTCACACTTGGGTTGCCCATAGAATCGTCATGCTAGGGAAATCATAGGGTTTTCCAACATAGAGAGTAAGGGCCTGGAGTGGGCACCTCTGTGTATAACTAACTGACTCTGACTTGCTCCCTGCAGACTGGCTGACGGTGATTTTCATCATCCTTGGTGCCATCCTCCTCATCGTGCTGGTCAGTGTGTGCTGGTGCCAGTGTTGTCCCCAATATTGCTGCTGCTATGTCCGCTGTCCTTGCTGTCCAAGACGGTGCTGCTGCCCTGAGGAAGGTGAGGGGTTTTCTGGGGGATAACTTTCCTAGGCACACCTGTCCAGTAGCCACTCAGTAAAGAAATTAGCTTTCTTGCTTGCTTGCTTGCGTGCTTGCTTTTTTTCTCTCTCTCTTTCTTTCTTTCTTTTTCTTCCTTCCTTCCTTCCTTCCTTCCTTCCTTCCTTCCTTTCTTTCTTTCTTTCTTTCTTTCTTTCTTTCTTTCTTTCTTTCTTTCTTTCTTTCTTTCTTTCTTTCTTCCTTTCTTTCTAAATCCCCTAGATTCTCTCTTATCATCATTTACTCCTCACAGACTGAGAAGAGTTCACAGAATCCTAGAACCCTAGCGTGTCACATTTGGAAAGGGACCAGAATGACGATGGAGTACAACCCTCTCATTTTACAAATGAGGAAACTAAGGCCCAGAGATCAATTGAAGTGAAAATAATGTTTAAACCTCAATACCATAAGAAAGGTGTCTGATTGCAGGATAATAAAGACAATTAGAGGTCTTCAAGCCCAACTACTAATTTTATAGACGAGGGCGCTGAGGCCCAGAAAAATGAAGCGAATTGCCGAGCGTCACACAGCTAGTAAGTAAGGATGTGCTCCCTGACATGGTTCTAGGACTTTCAGAAATTAACAGAAGTGGGAGTGGTTCATACTACAAATGGCCATGGTCAGGTCAGTAGGAACTAGGCTAACGTGCCTGGCCCATGTCAAAGGAGCAATTAGCCTTTATATAACCCACGTTAACAGGCCCATTATTCCTGAATCAATATAGACTACTGGGACAGAATATTTCTGAAAACAACAGAGACAGGATCTGTATCTGTGATTTCCATGCTATAGGGAATTCCCAGACTAGGAAATTCCCTCCACTAATACAGGTTGGTTCCTTCTCTGCAATGTTATAGATTTAGAGAGAGGGCCATCTTCAGTCATCCCGATCTATATATTGCCACTGGATCCAGATGGCTCCGGAGGAGAAAGTGAGGCTGGTGACTTTGCACAAACCTCCCTCACTTAAATCCAATTCACTTGCAAGTCATGGCATCATCTTCCTGATGTCATGGTCCTCTTCAAGAAAGGACGTACAACAAAACAACAATAGATTTAGAGAACTGACTGAGCCCCAACAACTGAATGACACTTGCCCAGTGTCCAGCATCTAGAATGTGTCAGATGTGGGACTCAAGCCCAGTTCTTCCCGGTTCTGAGGCCAACTGTCTATTCACTGTACCCCTTTGGCTCTCTGAGGGCCATGCTGTTGCTCAGTCCTGTTCATTTATTCCTTCAGCAAACCTTTATTGAGCACCTACCTCCCAGAGTTGTTATAAGGATCAAATGAGATAATGTTTATAAAGTGTTTAGTACAGTCCCATTTTGTATATGTGAAGCTGATTTTTTTTACCCTAAAGGTAAGACCTTATGTTAATCACTATTACATTTCAGTTTGTTATAGTTGCCCAAATATTCTAGCCTGCTGAAATTTGAAACCCAATTTTCACTTGATGTGTTTGTTATCCCTCTCAAATTTGATGAGCATGCCAACTAGACCTTTAATACAGTGCCTGGCACATAGTAGGAGCTTAATTACGTGCTTATTCTCCTTTGTATTAGGTGCCTTACTCAGCATTCTGGAGTACAGTGTATCAAAAGTGAACATAGCATGAATATATAAATTAATTTGAGTAAAATTGCCATTTTTATTCTATCGATTCCATAAATTAAAAAATTGAAAAAATAAATTTTTATATATGCATGAAAAAGTGAATATGGCATGGCTCCTGGCCTCCAGAAATATACAGTCTAGAAATAGAGATGACATATGCAAATAGATATAATATAGGGGAATATGTGGTAAGCGTACTATAGAAATTCAGAGAAATTAGAAGTTTTCCTAGGAGAGCTTGGGAGAGGGGGCGTGGTGATCAAAGCTGAACCTTGAATTATGCATAGGATTTCAACAGGTGATGAATAAGGTGGGAGAAGGCATACTAATGAGAAAATCACACACACACACAATTATAACAGAATAAAATGTTTGTTAATGGAATACTGAGCATTCCATTTTGGCTAGTCTAGGATTCATGTAAAATATAGAGGCAGATAAAGCAAGAAAGAGATCTTGGGCATGTGTAGAGTGTTGAAAGCCAAGATGAGGAGACTGGACTCCATTTAGTAGGCAATGGAGAACCAGTCAAAGTTTTTGAAAAACATGGTAACCAGATCAAAGAGGTACTAGAAGAGGAACATTTATATGACACTTTAAGGCATTTCTCTCACAATCCTGCAAGATAGATGGTAGAAGTATTATCATTCTCATTCTACAGTTGAGGGGGACAAGGGGCTTATGTAAGGTCATGCAGTAAATGTCTGAGGCCTGATTTGAACTCAAGTGTTTCTGACTCTAGGCCCAATGCTCTATCTACTGAACCACCTAGGTACCTCTTAAAAGAGGGATGGATTCGAAAACACTGGGAAGGGAAGGTCAATAGGATTTAAGATACGATTGGATGCTGTGGTGAGAAAGTTGAAGGTATCAAAGATGATTTCATGTTTTTAAGCTTGGTTATTGGGAACATGGCAGGCTATTATTGTTATTATTGTTGCTGTTGTTGTTGTTAGTATTATTTTAATAAGGAAAAGTGAGGAGGAACTAGCCAGAGAAGAGGATGGTAGTGATGAATTCAGTTTTAGATTTGTTGTGCATGTAGTGCCTGTGTGACATATGGTAGATATCCCAATGGGATGCTGGAAATTTGATTAGGGAAGACATCATGGATAAAGATAGAGACTTGGGAGTCATAAATTGAAATTCTGAGATCGATAGCAAATACAGCTCACCAAGAGAGAAGCTGTAAAGAGAAGACAGAATCTTGGGAAATGATCTCATTTAGAGAGGAAGAACAAAGGTCATTGGGTGGAGAGTCGAAAACCCAGTAAAGGAGTAATTCAGCTCATCAATGAATATTTATTTAGCACCTACAATATGTCAGGAACTGCCCTGGCTAGCACTAACTAGGCTTGGGGAGGGGGTGCAGGGAAGGATGGATACAAAGCCAAAAATGAAACAGTCCTGTCCTCAAGGATGTTAGGCTCTCAGGGGAAACAATGTCTACACATGAAAGTAATTACTATGTATACAAAGTAAATACAAAGTGGGGGTGGGGGGTAACTAATAGCCAGGAAAGATAAGGAAAAGGCCTTGCGTAAGAGGTGTAGAAGTTTTAAAGGAAGCTAAGGCTCAAAGAGAAGGAGTACATTCTAAGCAGGGGCTATAGCCAGCAAAGCCCTATATGTGTTATTGTTTGAGGCAGTGTGGTCTAATGGATAGTGTACTGGCCTTTGAGTCAAAAGAATCAGGGTCCCTAGATCACTTCTGACCTGGGCAAGTCATTGAACATCCCTGGTACTCGGTTTCCTCACTTGTAAAATGAGGATGGAGTCCAAGGTTGCAACAGGACAGAGATAAGAAGTTTGGTCAGAATGGTGGTGGTTTGGGGTGATTGTTTTTTGTGAACCTGGTTGCCTCTGCAGGGAATAGTTCTGAGAGCTTGTTCTCATAAAGCCAGTTGAGTTTATTATCTTCAGTGCTTTTCCACTGTTCTTTTCAGGGTACTGGGGCTGCCTGAGAGGATACACCCCTACCTCCTATTTATAGCCATTGTTCTCATTTTCCCAAGATACTGGTAGGGGATTACTTCCATAATTAGTGTTCTGCTATTAATAGCTGAAGATGATTTCATATTTTTCACCTTTGAGGGGAAAGTTTCATGGTTAAGGGGGCTTTCAATGTGTTAGCCAAAATCTATGGGAAGCCCAGTCACAGTGTCAGGGCTGCAGAAGCCATTTCTTGGTGAGACTCCTCAATTCACATGAGTCAGTGGTTGCCCACTCCATCCCCACGTCAGCCTGACTCTTGAGTAGAGATTTAAATGTAATCTGTTACTGAGCAAATAAGGAAGTATTCTCTGCTCCAGAATGGATGCTATGTTTAAGACTTCCTTTCCTTTTGTTGTACCCTTGACTACTGTGATTTGTCCTCCTGAGTAAGCAGAGGTATGCAGGACTCTCTAGAATGTATTGAAATATAGTTATAATAGAGGGAGAATGGCATCCACCACATGAGGACATGCAAGGAGGACTATGGTCTGATATAGTGGAAAAAGCTGGACTTAGAACCCTTGGGTTCTAATCCTACCTGTGCTATTGCTGATTGTGTGGCCTTGGACAAATCACTTAACCACTCTGGACTTCAGTTTCCCCATTTGTAAAATGAGAAGGGAAGGGGGCAGTGAGCTAAGTAAATTAAGGTTCCTTCTGACTCCAAGTCCAAGGAGCCATTGGATTTTATTGAGCCAAGGGAGTAATGTGTGCTCTAGATATCTCTGTTTGGCAGCTGTGTGGAGGATGGGTTTGTGAGGGAAGAGAACTGAGTCAGGAAAACCTAATTGGAAGCTATCGCAAGAGTCCAGGTGAGAAGTGAGGAGACCTGAACTAGGGAGGTAGTGAAGTGAGTAGGGGAAAAGGAATGAATATGAGAGACTTTGGGGAGGTAGAATTGGCAAAATTGAGGATGACTTTGAAATTGCAAACCCAAATGATTGGAAGGATAATGGTGCCATTAATTAAAAAAAAAAAACCCCAGCAACTAAGATAATCTCATGTCAAGGGAAGAGGAGGAAGCGATTATGTAGGGCATGAAATAGTATAGAGAAGAAAAGGAGTCAGAACTAAGAAGAGATCACAGAAGGTCATTAGTGATGTAGGCAGAAGCCAGATTTCAAGGAATAAGGCATGAGTAGGAGGTAGTGAGGAAGTGGAGGAAGTAAGTATAGATGACTCTCGAGCAATTTCACTGTGAAAAAGGAGTGAAATCATTGCATCCTTTGGAGTAGGAGGAGCAAGGCAAGATCTGTTTTTTAAGGTAGGAAAAAATCTGACTATATTTGTAGGCAGAGGAGAAGATAGTGGAAGGAAAATGTTAGACTGAAGAAGGGAGATAATTAATGGAACTGAAGTCCAGGTGCTAGATTGGTCAACACAACAGGTTTTCAAGTCAACAAGGATGAAGTCATTGAGGAGGGTTGGGAATGTGTCTTGGAGGGCAGCAGACCTAATGATGGAAATCAAAAAAAGACATGGTGAGGGGTGATAACAGAGCAATGATTAGGAAGTCTGGGTTGGTATACCCAAAGTAGCCCCTTTGTCAAGAGGAAAACCTAAAGTTAGCATTAACTCCTCTAAAATGTAGAGGAATCTAATTAGTGTTTCACATAGTCAGACCTACCATTTTCTCTTATATGATCTTAGTCTTCCATTAGAGGGTGGAGAATATAGATAAGAGTAAGCCTTCTGCCAAAGGGAGGTGAGGCTGCACTAGCACCTACCTACCCCAGGAATGAAAGTGGTGTAAAAATTACAGCTAAGGATGATATGAATGAACACAATGATACTGTTAAAGAGTTGAGAGAAACTCAATGAATAAGGATAACTTTTATTATAAGATACTGGAGGCTTCTTGAAGCTTTGTAACTTCTCCCTATGCCTATCATTGTTATTTTCCACTTTGTTTCCCACTGTGCTAGCAGTAAAAACCCTAGGAAACCAGAAAAAGGATTGTGTCATTGTTCTGTGGGCTAGAAGGTAGGGGAGAAATTTCGAGACAGTCCATTCTGCAGTGGGGATGGGGGGAGGGGAGAAACCTTGGAATGGAAACCATGGGTGGTTATAGCTAAAAACAAAGTGGCAAGCTAATCCTTAGGGCCTAGGGATAGAAAAACCAAAAACAAGGGAATAAAGGGGCAGGGGGGTTATACCAAGGGAAACTTTAATGCCTGATAAAGCAGAATCAGTGACCAAATAGTATTCTTGTAAGGTCTCTGAGGGCAGGACCCATACCTTAATTATTTTTTCTTTCTTTTTTAAATACATTTTTGAAAATAAATTTAAAATTTTTATGAGATCTTTTGTTTTTACATTACTTAGATTTCCCCCATATATCCTACCCTCTCCCTCCTTGGAACAAGGATTTTTAAAGAAAAAGAAATTAAAAAGGAAGAAGAAAAAAATGAGCAAAACTGATCAATACACCAAAAAAGATCTGACATATGCAATGTTTCACACCTGTGAAACCTGCCACTCCCCCACACCTCTGCAAAGGAATGAGGGAAGTGTCATCTTAGATCTTCCCCAGTTTGATGTTTGATGAATAACTCAATGATATGATAGGAAAAACGCACATGACTTAAAATCAGATGAGCTTGGTTCAGATCCTGTCCCCAACCTTTACTATTTAAGTGAGTTGCCCACAGTCTTACAATTTTTCTGAGCTTCAATAATAATTACAGTAACTCCTTCATGAGACTGTTGTGAGGAAGGGGCTTTGTTAAGCTGTAAAGTGTTATGCAAATATGATTTGTAGTTACTATGAATTGATCCTGACCTCTCCTTGCTTATGATCGAGCAGAGAAAATGTGTTGTCCATTGAAAGAGCTATGAGGGAAGAAGCACCTCAGATGAAAGCTAGATTCCAGTTAAAGGTGGGGGTGGAGGGAGAAACCACTTGTGAAAAAGGTCTATAATATGGGGGAGGTTGCTCATAATATAACACAAAACAGTCAAAACTAGCAAAAGGTCATTTAGCAATAATGGGAGCCTGGGAAAGGGTAGACGGAGTTGGGTAGAAATGAGAGTGAAGGAGGAAGCAGCTGAGTCAGTAGCTGGATCAGAGTGATGAGGGCAGTTTGTTGGAGGCTTCCCGAAGGTGCCTATAGAGGAAATACTGAGTAGGCAGAGAGCTGTTACTGGAGGAGGATGGAGGATCGAGCATCCTCAGTGTTATATGAAAGTGGTGTTGATGCAGCAGTGAGAGCCCCTGACAACATGTTCCCTGGGCACCCGGGTGCTCCTCGCAGCTTGCCTGTAGCTCACTCCCAGGCTTTTGAGCACAGGATGCTTCTAGGGCTACTGTTGTGCTGCTCTCTGTATTCTAGATCGATAGGCCTTCAATTTATTTCCCATGGAAGCAGCATTTGGTACCCCGTATTGCTTGGTCCCACTCACATTGTCCATCCTGGACAGCTCTTTCCCCAGACCCTCCTCTTGTTCTTGTTGTTCAGTTGTTTTCAGTCCAACTCTTCATGACCCCATCTGGGGTTTTCTTGGCAAAGATACCAGAGTGTTTGTCATTTCTTTCTCTAGCTCATTTTACAGATGAGGAAACTGAGGTAAACAGGGTGAAGTGACTTACCCAGGCTCACACAGCTAATAAGTGTCTGAGGCCTTCATAACTCCAAACCCAACACTGTAGGCATTGCCCCACCTAGCACATTACTCTTCTGGTGTAGGCTAGGGGTGCAAAAGTTTTTTTGGGTTTTTTTTTAGGCAATTGGGGTTAAGTGACTTGCCCAGGGTCACACAGCTAGTAAGTGTCAAGTGTTTGGTCTGAGTTCAGATTTGAACTCAGGTCCTCCTGACTTCAGGGCCGGTGCTCTGTCCTCTGCGCCACCTAGCTGCCCCCTGCAAAAGTTTTTAAGTGCAAGGTAAGGAGCTCTGGGCCAGAAAGTCAACGTTGAAGACTTTGGGAATGCCCTTTTCAAGGGGCCCTGGACAGTTCCACTTTGAAACATACAAGTACTTTTTGCATGTGCAAGGGACAGGTGTGCTACTTTCTAAGATGTACCTCCCTCAAAACAGAGACTTGGCCAGAGAAAGCTAAAAGTTTAGCAAAGAATTCCTCCGTGTGCAAGTATCTATTCTCATGGATGAGCCATGTGTAGTGTGCATCTTGTCACTTGAGAACATAAGCTCTTAAAGGTCAGAGTGGAATTTTCTAGGGTAGATAGGTGGTAGGACCTGTCCACTACCTTCCTGCTTTGGCCCTTGATTAGGACTGGTATTTCCCTTCCTTCCTCCTCCTGCCAGATTCCTGTCACTGAAGAAAGCCCCTGTAGTGAGCAGTCTGGGTGAAAGAACTGGGGATTTTTAGCCTAGAGAAGGAAAGATGAGGTAGGGGTTGTAAGGGGAAAAGACAAAAAATTCTTCAAGTCTTTGAAGGGTTGTCATGTGAAAGAGGGATTCTACTTATTCTGCTTGACCACAGCAAGCAGAGTTAGGAACAGTGAACTAAAGCTGCGGAGATAGCTTTAGGCTTTATATAAGGAAATCTAATTAGAGTTGTCTGCTTCCCAAGGTAATGAGCTTCCCTGCACTTGGAGGCTGCAAGTCCACTTCTTAAGGATGACTGCCAAGTTGCTTTCCAACCCTTGAGATGTCATGACTGGGGAGAAGGGCAGAAAGCTACTGCCTGAATCCCTCATGAGCACCAAGTACTACCCCCTTGATTACCTCCAACACTCAGTGCTCATCTACCTGGGAGGAAGCAGAGGACACATTGTTACAGAACTATATACTTCCTTCTGCCCTTCCAGGCCTGTATCCTTAATAACTTGCTGTGTTTGTGCCTTCTATTTCTGGCTAATGACTGGATGCCATCTTGGTCAGTTGCCAAAATTTATTTGCATGCTTGATAAAATACATGCTGTTCCACCTTGGGGGAAAGCAGAGTGGTAACATTTTTAAAGCTAATGATTTTTGTTCTCTATGAAAACCTCTTTGAAGAATCTACATTTCAGGGTCGATGGAAGTCCAGGTCTTAGCTGGAGTTTACAGAGTCCTTCCAAACCTCCTATTCACTGAAAACATGGCACATCAGATTTGGAGGAGAGGCTGGTTTTGGGAAAGGTTGGCTAATACCGACTCACATTTAGGTAGTTTTAGAGTTACAGAGCATTTCCTTCAAAACTAACCCAGTGGAATAGGTGGTATAATTTCCATTTTGCCGATGAGAAAACTGAACCTGAGGGATTATGGCTCACCTAGCTTACCAGTGGAAGAGGTGGGTCTTAAACCCAATGTCTCTTACTCCAAACCCAGGGCTCCTTCTCCTTATACCACATTGCCTTCTGGTCTCATGAGGGGTTGAGAAACTACACAGAGTGAAGGTAATCATTTCTCCTTTTCCCCCCTGCAGCCCTGGCCCGGCATCAGTATATGAAGCAGGCTCGGGCACTAATCCCCCAGATGATGGAAAAACCCCTCTACTGGAGAGCTGACAGGAGCTCCCAGGTTTCATCTTACCAAATGAACCCGCTGCTGCAGCGAGGTAAACCCTACCAAAGAAATCTAGGAGGGCTGAGGGTAAGAACATGGGCTGTGTGGGGCCTTTGGGAAAAGGACAATGCGGATTTCTATGGCTCAGGAAGAAGCACAGATCAAACAATTAGTTTGAAAATCAAATAAACAGGGTGTTCCAGGGGACTTTCTGGTACCCCTATGAACCAGGGAAATCAATTTATCTTGGGACTTGTCATAACAGTGATATTGTCATTTCTCTTTGTTTTTAGATTTGTCCCCACCGGCCAGCTTCCCTCAGATGCCAGTGCCCCCAACTCCAACTCACCCCCCTGCTGCCAATGGAGTGCTAGAGTACTTAGAGAAGGAACTGCAGAAACTCAACCCTGCCCAGTCCCTCCCAGCAGACCACAAAGCAAGAATCGGTCGTCACTTCAGCATGTTGTCCTCCCTGGGTTCAGAAATCGTGGAACGCAGGATTATCCACCTTCCCCCCTTAGTCACAGACTTTCCCTCCTCCCAGAGGACCAGTGAATCATCTCACCAGCAGTTTTCCAGGCGACCTTGGGCTCTGGAGGAAGTGAAAGAGGAGAGAAGACAGAATCATTCCTCTGATTTCCGTCGAGGGTCCTTGGAACCATGGCCAAAGCCCAAAGCCTCAGAGCGTAGGGCTCGTGAGAACTATAAGAGTGGGAGACGTTGGAACTCTAGGGAGGAAGTCTCACCCAAGTCCAGGCCATACTCTGGTAGCCTGAGTGATGATGGGTCCTATTCCCAGGAGACCCACTGGCGCCCCAACCACTCAACACAACGTAGCCGCTCGCCAGGGAGGCGCCATCGGTCAGGCCAAAGGCAGAGCACCTACAGGCACCGCAGCCACCGACACCGAAGCTATTCCCCGCCATCTTGCCACAGCTCTTGGAGTTCAGAAGAAGAGAAGGAACGGCAGTATCATCAAGGCTGGAAATCCCACCGTCCTCCTCAACCCCCAAGCTGGACAGAAGAGAAGCCACCGAGCTACCGCTCTCTAGATGTCATTCCAGGCAAGAATGTCAGGAAAAAAGGGAATGTGGAAAGGCGTTCGGTGAGCCTGGGGAATTACTTGCTGTGATGGTAGGGCATGGAAAGAGAAGACCCATTAATCTGGCATAGTTTCGTCATATTTGGCATCCATTAAGCAGTGATCTCTCCTAGGCAAGGGGTAACCAACCCTAGACAAGTTTTACAACGTGTCCAGGCAGCCAGAGAGCAAATATTTATTAAGTACTTACTTTATGCCAGATATTATGCTAAGCAGTGGAGATCCAAAAACAAAAATGAAATTTTAATACCTACCCTCAAAGAGCTTACACTCTTCTAGTGGAAAACGACTCTCTTAGCAGAGAGTGAGTTTGAGGGACCTAGTTTTAGAAACAGCAGCACCCCCAACTGTGAATGTAGAGAAAGCACAAGTCTTGGATTTAAGAAGACCATGTGAGCATCACTTTCCTCCTATGTAAGATGGCGCAAATTAATTATGGTGATACCTCAAATGAAATAATATACATGAAACACCCAAAAGCACCATTTGAATGACAGTGCCTAATTTCAAAGCATTATCAGAGCTACTATGTCCTTTCTGATATCTGGCTCACTGATCATGGCTCCCAAACTCAGAGATCATGGGATTCAGAGCTAGAAGAGACCTTAGCAATCATCTCCTCCAACTTTCTCAATTTACAACTGAGGAAATCCCTCTGCCTCTAGAAGATGATGTCAATGATTTGTATAGAACATAAGCCCCCTACTCCCTACCCAAATGTTTAGAAACTAGGAAAAGGTCAGGCCTGCTTGGGGGAGAGAGCAACCAGAAAGCCAATGGTATGTGTTGCCATAGTGGACGTTGAAGCGACCACTAGGAAACCCCTGTGAGTGCCACTTTTTCCCATGATACCGAGCTCAGAGTGGTCTGTGGAGGGCCACTGGATAACCCCTATAGGAGTTTCTGGCTACCCCTCTGGCATTGTTATCTTGAGAGGGAAGCCCTATCCATGCCCTTAAGATGTAAGGACTACCTCAAGTCTTTGGTTCTGGCCTCACGTGCCTTGGAGGGACTTACTTCTGTCTCCTTTGGGGTAGTGGGTAGAAAGGGTGATTCACTTCTTGACTGACAGATGTTATAGGAAACAGGGGGTGAAGTGGTTTTGAGGGTTTCCCTAAGGGAAAGTGGAAACATTATAGTTTGAATATCTCAGAAGTCTCTCAAAATTCCCTGGCGAGGAGCATCAGGGGTAATGGAACTAGTCGCAGAGTGTCCTGAAACTGTAATACTGGCCTGAACCAAATAGGTACGTCTTATGTGACTCTGCTTCAGACCTTCCTAGAAGTTTTTGGGGGTTCAGATCAGAAATGCTTCGTGAGATTGCAGGCTGCTTTTTAATCTGGCAATCACCTGATCTCTGCCACGACTGCTCTGTGGCCCCCTTAACTGTTTTTAACATAACGTGGGCTTCCCTAAAAGGTACAGTAGAATAGGTGAGGGGCCCAGGAGGCCATGCATAGGAAATACATGTGTATATATAATGCCAAACTTAAGTTTTGGGGACTGGAGCCACAGGTGATTAGGTGGTACAATGGATAGAGTTCTGGGCTTAGAATTCAGTAAAACCTGAGTTCAGATTCACCTCAGACACGTTCTAGCAGTGTGACCTGGGCAAGCCTATCTGGGCCTCACTTTCCTCATCTATAAAAGCGAGGGAAATGGCCTTGATGGCTTCTCAGGACTCTTTCAGCTCTCAGGTTGTGATCAGATGGGTTTGTGAGACCAATAGGGATAACAAGGGAAGGGGAAGAAAATAAGCATTAATATAACTTCTGCTATGTGCCAGGCACTGTGCTAAGTGCTCTACACATATTATCGTATTTGATCCTTACAACAATCCTGCAAGGTAATTATTGTTATTATCCGCATTTTACAGTTAAGGAAACTAAAACAAAGAGAAGTTAAGTGATTTACCCAGGGTGACACAGCTAGTAAGTGTCTGAGGCTGTCTTTCTGACTCCAGTCCCCAGCACTGTATCCACTGCACCACTTAGCTGCCTCAGTATGGCAGACAAAAAGGACATGGTTGAGCCTAACCCTTAGGTTTTCATTGGACTGGATTTCTTGGAGAGTCATGGATCGGTAGAACTAAAAAGTCACCTTGGAATCCACTTAGCCCAATTCTCTCATTTTGCAATGGAGAGAATGAGGCCAAGTGAAATTATTGAAAGAACTTGGTCAGGATCCAAGTCTAACTCCACCTACTAGTGAGGGCCCTCACTGTTCCCAGTTAATATGATGCAATAATGTCACTTTATCTAGTGTGACATTTAAAAAGGTTTGAGAGACATAGTTTCTAGGTAATTCAATCACTTTATTAATAAGGTCAGCAGTTTATTACTACAAGGATGATCATTTGGCTGGCTTAGACCAAAGACCCTTAATGGTAGTGGGGGGTCACAGTTCATATGCCCTTTGAAGAAGAGGTGTTCCCATGTTCCCGAGGGGTACCTACTCAACTCTGATTGATGAATCAAACAGGAGGTGGGCTATCTTGGGGTACATGGCTTAGGTCACTCAAATCTTGGTCAAAGAGACATCAATTCACATATCACTTGTCTTGATAATAGGGAGAATCAACATTCCGCCCCCCACACACCTGTCTGAGCAAACACAATGAGCAGGAATACACCCATTGGCCCAAACTTAGAATTTCTTTTACTGTCTGATTAGATCTTGGCCTGGGTAAATCTCTAAGAGAAATTTCCCACACTGGTTGGTTTCTGGATGAGGAAGTAGAAAAGGGGAAAAACCTTGGTCCTAATATGATAATTAGTTATTAAAGAGAAGAGAGAAATATTCATCTTTTATACTAGCTAGTGCAGTGACTTTTACCACTTGGTTTAAGACTTATGACGTTGGTTTCATTTTTTGCCACTAGGTGGTGACCTTTGATAACTTGTAACTTAAAATTTCCCCATGGTGGGGTAAAAAATCAGTTTCAAAGCTTAAGAGGAACTTATGAGATCTTTTAGTACAACTCGGACCTAAATAGCAGTCTCTCGTTAAAGCACAGTTCACATTACGCTACATCATAACGTCTCTCGGAAACCTTGTATCTTCCCAAGGTGGCTCATTCCTCTCTGGTCCTGCTCTTTCAAGTTCTGCTTTACCTCAAACCAAAATTTGCATCTCTGAAGCCTCCACCCAATTCTTCCTGGTTCTGTTTTTGGGATCCAGGAAAAATGAGTCTGATATTTCTTACACACGACAAACTGTATGACCTTGAGCAAGGCCCCTCTCAACCTCATTTTCCTCATCCGTAAAATGAAGGGGTTGCATAAAATAGCCGCTGAGGTCACTTCTGGCCCTAAATCCACAGTCTTTTGACTGCTTGAAGATAGCTATCATGTTGTCAATCCTCTTACCCCTTGCTTCATGCAGGCTAGACCCATTGCCCACTGTCTACGTTCCCTCAATCAATTGAAATACGGCTCAGCTTTGGGCCCCTTGCCGTCTTGACCACACTCCTTAGATGTAGCCTTCCATCTTTCCTAAGATGTGAATACCAGAACTGAACACAGTAGTCCAGAGTAGTTTGATCAAAGCAAAAAAGAAAGGGCCTGTCCCTTGACTCCTTCTGGACACTCTGCTATTGATAACACCCTGAGGTTGCACTTAGAAGCAGCGTGATACAGTGATCTGGCTTTGAGTTGGGGAGACCTGGGTTCAAGACCAGCCTCCAAGATATGTTAACTGTGTGGCCTTGGGCAAGTCACTTACCTTCTCAGTGACTAGGCAGCTCTCTCAGAGTAAAAATAGCAAAATGGTTTCTTAGTAAAGGTCCAGACCCAAGACTGAAAGATCGGATTAGCTTTTTTGTTGTTGTTCAGTTGTGTCCAACTCTTCATGATCCCATTTGGGGTTTTCTTGACAAAGAAACCAGAGTGGTTTGCCATTTCCTTCTCCAGCTCATTTTACAGATGAGGAAACTGAGGCAAACAGGGGGAAGTGACTTTCCCAGGGTCACACAGCTAGTAATGTCTGAGGCCAGATTTGAACTCAGGAAGATGAATCTTTCTGACTCCAGGCCCGTCACTCTATTACTCCACCATCTAACTGTCCCCTTAAAACATTAGCTTTACTGGCCAACATCTCACACTTACTAAAATCTGTAGGTGTTTTTCACAGAAACTGTTGCCTCACAGTTTCCTCACAGTTGCCTCACACACACACGCCTCAATATTGAAGACATGCGGCCATTGCCTACTATAATTCACCATCTCAAAGTTTATCTCATCTAAGACACCACCAGAATAACTACCCCAAGGGACTGGCAAACAGCCTCCCCCAACTGTCCATTCACACCCTTATATAGCCTGGCTTTACCGAGAAATTAAAGGTGGTATATCTCAAACGTCTTTCTATAAAATTTTCTTCTACTAACCTATAACTTTATAATAAGTTCTTAGTAAAAACCATTATAGAATGACATAAACAACCATTTACAAAACAATAATTCAAAGCAACATCAAATTAACAAAACAGTAACAGAAACCTGGTGTATCTAAACACTTTTATACCTACATCCCTGATGTTCTCTTAGAAAAAAATCCAGTAGTAACTTACAGTTCTAAGGTCAAAAGGTCCAGCTTGTCTGAGCACCCCCATGCTTCGTGGCTATCGAGAGAATCTGCTCTCTTTCTTGGCAGCCTTATCCTTTACTTAGCTGTAGTATGTCATTAGTCAGTTTTGCAGATTAGACCATGTATACTCTTTCTGGTAGAAAACAAAGGTAGTTTCAATCTCTCTCAACCACAACTAACCATCAACTTTTAATGGAGCACTAATGATTTCTCTCTCTTTTCCACTTTTTAGTCCAATCAGTGAGCTTTTTAGATACAAGCCGGATACCAATCTTTTTTTTTTTTTAACAAAATTGACATCTCAGGCAAGTTGGGACTTGTATGTACATGCCCTAAATAAAATTCTGTGGCCCTCCTTGACTTCCTTCCCCTTTTTTCTTAGTGGTACAATACATGGTACCTCAACTAAGGACTGTGTGTTGAGCAAAAACATAAAAATCAAGACCCATAACTATCAGATAACTTTGAGAGTGCATTGATAAAGGGAGAAGCTATGATAGAATTTATAGGACCACAGGTTTAGAACTGAAATTGGCTATTAAGAGTTTAATTGTTCATAAGGTTCAATCCTTTCATTTTATAGATTGGGAAATTGAAGCCAAGAGGGGCAACAGGATCACATAGCTAGCAGGTATTTGAGGCAGAATTCGAACTCAGTGCTTCCTATCTCCAAGTTCAGTGCCCTATCCACTAAACCACTTTGTCTCCATTATAATAGTTTTTCCTAGGTGGCCATTCTTGCTGTACAGAGGTAGCATATCCATGAATGAAATCCATTCAAGCCACACAAACTACTAGGAAATATTTACTGAGCACTTGCTCTGAACACAACATTGTTAGGCCTCCTTGTGGGATAGAGAAATATAGAAGGTCTCTGCCCTTAAGAACTTGAAGAGACAGTGATCCCATGTAGAACAGTGAACAACAAACAAAACCACATTGGCTAATCCCATGTTAAATCCTAAATTAAAGAATTAAGCAATTTGAGGTCATTTAGAATAGTTGGAGTTTTCTTGGAGACTGTGGCCTTAGGTCCTTAGGGATCCTTCCTTTTTTTTTTTTCCATGAGGCAATGGGGTTAAGTGACTTGCTTAGGGTCACATAGCTAGCATCAAGTGTCTAAAGCCAGATTTGAACTTAGGTCCTCCTGGCTCCAGGACCAGTGCTCTATCCACTGTACCACCTAGCTGCCCCATTAGACAGAGGTTCTTAGCCCAAGGTCCTTGAACTGGGTGTGCATGTGTGCATGTATACATATATCCACATATATACTTATGTATATACGTGTGTGTATATAATATATGTTACATATATTATGCATATAATTATATAATGTCTGTGATATAATATATAATTTATTTAAAATATGCTGTATTTCAATGTAATTGACTTCCTTCATAATCCTATGTGTTTTGTTTTATTCATTTAAAAATAGTATTCAGAAAAGGGGTCCTCACCAGACCATCAAAATGGTCTATGACCCAACAAATGTTATAGACCCAGCCTACAAGAAATGCAGGATTTGGATAGGCAGAGAGGAAGGAAAGAAGGCATTTCAGGCTGGGAAGAATAGCATGAGAAGACTGAAGGAAGATCTGAGTGGCATGTATGAGGACAGAGAGAAGATGGGTCTGATCATTTCTTTCATCCCTTCCCCCCCATCCTCCTTATTGCTAATTTTAATGATTTTAATTTTATCACTTGAAGGTGCTAATAAAAATCTAATTGAAGGAGAAAATAAGGTGAGAGAATTTTGAGATGCATGAGGACTAGTTAATTACTCAGTCCCTAGTAGCTGTTCTCCATGTGACATTAGGAGGCATAATTGTGCTCAAATGAAAAAAAGCTCCTCCTCCCTCTCTTTCTCCTTCCTCTTCTTCTTTCCCTCTCTTCTTCTCTCTCTCCCTCCCACCCTACCTCCCGGAGGGCTATAGCGAAAGTCAGTGTAAGTGAGGCAACATGTCTCAGTGGTGGAGGAGGTAGGAGAACTGGCTTTTAAATTGAGCAAGTAGGCTCAAATCCTGAATGGCCCTGGGCCAGTCATTTAGCTTGTTTTGGCCTGATTTCTTCATCCATAGAATAAAGGGATTGATTAAGATGACCTCCAAAGTCCCTTTTAGCTCTAACTCTGTGATGTAAAGATGTCCCTCCGGTAATCTAGACCAGAGGTGTCAAACTCACTGCTGGCAAACCTCCCAAAGAGTGATTGTTTCTATTTGAGTTGGACTTACTGCATTCAGTCTTGTCTGACTCTTTGTAACCCTATGGACCATAGCACTCTAGGCCCTTCTGTCCTTTACTATCTCCTGAAGCCTGTCCAAGTTCATGTTTGCTGCTTCCATAACACTACCTATCCATCTTATCCTCTGCCATGCCCTTCTCCTTATGCCTTCTGTCCCAACATTGGGGTGTTTTCCAATAAGATCTTTCTTCTCATGATGTGGCCAAGTATTTAAGCTTCAGCATTTGACCTTCTGATGAGTAGTCTGAATTAATTTCTTTAAGTATTGATTGATTTGATCTCCTGTCTATCCAAGGAACTCTCAAAAGTCTACTCCAGCACCACGATTCAAAAGTGTCAATTTGATGGTGCTCAGCTTTCCTTATAGTCCAACTCTCACAGCCATACATTGCTATTGCAGAAACCGTAGTTTTGACTATAAGGAACTTTGATTACCATCAGTGAGGTGATGTCTTTTCTTTTTAGCATACTGTCTAGATTTTTGGGTGCCACTGACCTAAACCATACACCCTAATTTTGAACCATGCACTGACTCTTCAGTTTTGTTTTGTTTTGTTTTGTTTGTAAAATATCTATAAAGTTCTAGTCCATAGCAATCATTTATGTTCTGTAGTTCTGAAGGGGCTGGTTATGTATTTTCTACCCCTGGGAGTAATAAGGCGTCATATGAGGAAACAGAAACAATGAGCTGCTGCTGGCTGTAAATCATGATGTTAGGAGGTGTTTGGTGCAAAGGAGAGTCAGGGAGGAAAGGAAGGATGAGGGAGAAGGAGAACAAATGAGGGCAGAGTTCAAAGAGCTTCCTATCTAGGAAGTACTTAATACATATTGGTTGAATAGTATTAAATTGAATATTGCCCTCATAGTTTGTGATTAATTCTTTTCTGTATCCTCCCTTTCCAGGAGAGAGAAAGCTCCCATAGTGGAAGGAGTGTCATCATCTAATACCTGGGATCTCCTTCTTGGCTCTTCTATCATGATAGACAACAGTGAATTTTCTGATTCAGAAGCCCTGGCGATTCTGAACTTGTGCTTCTGGATTGGACCTCAGGAACCAAGCTGAAGTGGCATGGTGGCTTGAGACTACTACATTTGACTTTTGGCTTCTCCTTTCATTCATTCAACAAGCAGTTATTAAGTGTCTACTGTGTGCTGGCTATTGTTCTAGGCACTGAGAATACAAAGGCAAAATCAGCCAATTAACAAGCATTTATTAAATTGCTACTGTGCTTTATAAGCACAGACCCAGGCAGTGGAGTTACAAAGACAGACAATAACGAGGATATAGGTCCAACCAAGAACTGAGTTTCATGAGTCTTCAACTCAGTTACATGTATCAGAACCAAGGGTTAATCTCAGTCAGAACTCAGGAAGCTTGATGAAGCAATTGAACACCCAAAAGGAACAAGAGACAGCCTATGGGTGCCTCCATGTATACAGCAGCTCTAAGCGATAGTTATAAGGGGAGTATTTTGTTGAAACTTAGTCTCCACCTGTTTCATCCCTAGATTTATAACCTCATGGTTCTTTCTATTTTAGGGTTGCATCAGTTGAAAGGTATTGCCCAAGGGAAAATAAAAGACTGCGATGATAGTTATGGTTTGGTTTGGTTTTGCTTTCTTTTGCCTTTTTTGTATCTGTGTGTGACCGTCTCAATCACCAAGCTTTTATTAAGGTCTTACTACATACCAGGCACTATGCTGAGGATAGAAAGACAAAAAGTAAAATCTCTGCCTCCAGAGAGACTTAATTCTCTCCAGGGATACAATATGTACATATGTAACATTTGAGGATAGAGAATGTATGCAAAATGAATACAAGGTCATTGGGGGAAGGCATGCACTAGCAGCTGGGGGGAACCAGGAAAGGCTTCCTGTAGAAGGTGAACCCTGGTTGAAATCTAAAGAAAACCAGGGATTCCAAGAGTCAAAGGTAAGGAGGGAGTATATTCCAGGCTGAGTTCATTATGTTTAGTGCAAAGGCCTGATGATGGGAGATGAAGTAGCTTATATGTGGGACAGGGAGTAGGCTAGTATCGCTGGACTGAAGAGGAACAGAGTAAAGTGTAAGAAGGGGTCAGGCTGTGAAGAACTTGAAATGTCAAACCTATTTTAGGAAAAATAACTTGACAGCTACGTGAAGGATAGTTTGGAATGGGAAGCGATATGAGACAGGAAGATCAAATAGAAAACTATTGCAATAGTCCAAGCAAGAGGTGATGAAGGTTTGAACCAGGGAGAGGAGGGAATATCAGCAAGAGATGCTGCGGAGGTAGAAATGGCGCCATTTGGCAATTGATTAGATATGTAGAGTGGGAAAGTGAGTAGAACCAGCACTATAGGTGAACAATAAACCTGGGCTCAGCATCCAATCCAAACCAATAAACATTTAAATACCTACTATGGCGCAGCTAGGCGGCATAGTGGATAGAGTGTTGGCTTGGAGTCAGGAAGACTGCTCTTAGCAGCTGTATGACCACAGACAAGTCACAACCCTGTTTGCCTCAGTTTCTTCATCTGTAAAATGATCTGGATAAAGAAATGGCAAACTAGTCCAGTATCTTTGCCAAGAAAACCCCAAATGGAGTCATGAAGAGTTGGACACAACTAAACACCAACTCAGCAACAGCAACAAAATGCCTACTATGTGCTAGGCACTGTGCTAAGTGTTGGACCTGTGACATGATAATGAAATAAATGCTAAAGGTAGGATAGTCTTTGAAATTAAGGGTAGGATCCTTAAGTGTCATATTTGTCCTACGTCTGGATCAGATGCTGAATGTGGAGGTCATTGGGTCATAGATTTTATGCTAAAAGAGATCTGAGAAGTCATCTAACTTAACCCTCTCATTTTACAGATGAGGAAACCAAGGCCCACAGAGGTTAGGACTTACCCAAGGTCAGACAAGTAGAAATTGGTAGATCTGAAATTTGAACCCAGGTGCTCTGACTCCAAATACTGGCACCATGCTGCCTCATGATAAAAGATATTTTCTTTATACATGCAATTTTTCAAGTATATCTATTGCATAGTGTAGGTTACCTTCTGTTCTACTCAGATGGAATTTGTTCCTTAGTTGTCATGGAAGGTATAAAAAAAAAATTAAGTTAACTATCCCAAGTGATTTTGTTGTTCAGTTGTGTTTGACTGTTCCTCACCCCATTTGGGGCTTTCCTGACAAAGATACTGGAGTGGTTTGCCATTTCCTTCTCCAGTTCATTTTACAGATGAGGAAACTGAGGCAAACAGGGTTAAGTGACTTGACCAGGGTCACACACCTTGTAAGAGTCTGAGACTGGATTTGAACTCTTGAAGATGAGTTTTCTTGATTCCAAGCTCAGTGCTCTATCCACTGTGCCACTTAGCTGCCATCCCAAGTAAACTTTAGTCAAAAATATAGTGTCTACACTGTTCTTCATTATGATGAAAAGCAGTTAAACATTTATCGATACAAGCAGAGTGTGCTAGACATCATTAAAACCAAATTAAACTCACAATAATGATATTAATAGGTAACATTTATATCAAGGTTTACAAAGCGCTTTACAAATATTATCTTATTTGATCCTTACAACAACCCTGGAAGGTAAGTGCTATTATTTCCATCCCCACTTTTTCAGATGGGGAAACTGAGCTAAATAGAGGCTAAATGACTGGCCCAGGGTCACAGAGCTAGTAGGTATCTGAGACTGGATTTGATGGTCTAGCACTCTATCGACTGCGCTACTTGACTACTGACTCCTTCCCTATTGTCTACAAACATGTCCATGTCTCATCCTGAAGAAAACCTCATTTGATCCATCCATTCCTGCTGTTGTCCCATATTTTTCCTTCCTTTTGAGGCTAAACTTGAGAAGGCCATCTATAATGGGTATCTTTACTTCTTTTCTTCTTACTATCTTCTTAACTCTGTACAATCTGGCTTCCAATCTGATCATTCAATAGAAACTCCTCTCTCCAAAGTTACTAATGATCTCTTAGTCGCCAGATCCAGTGGCCTTTTCTCAGTCCTCATCTTTCTTGATTTCTCCCCATCACTCTTTTCTCCTTGATACTCCCTTCTCCCCAGATTTTCAGAACACCACTGTCTCCTGGTCTTCCTTCTGCCTATTTCAGTGTCCATTGCCAGATCTTCATCCAGGCCACACCTGTTAACCACGAGTGTCCAGCAATGATCTATCCTGGACCCTCTTCTCCCTCTAGACTCTTTCACTTGATTCAATGATCATTTCTATGCAGATGATTCTCAGATCTATTTATCCAGCCCTTACCTCTCTGCTAACCTGTAGTCTCTCATCTCCTACTGCTTCTTAGACTCTCAAACTGGATGTCCTGTAGATATCTTAAATTCAATATGTCCAAAACTGGACTCATTTTCCCCTTCAAACCTTCCACTCTTCCAAACTTCTCTATGGTGGTCCAGGGTACCACCATCCTCACAGTCTCCCAGTCTTGCAACCTAGGTATCATCCTCAATTACTCTCTGTCTCTCACCATCCCCACCCCACCATGTCCCAACAAGGCCTGTCAGTTTCACCTTTGCAACATCTCTCAAATGTGCTCCTTTCTCTTCTGCCACCACCTAGGGTAGGCCCTCATCTCCTCATATCTGTACTGTAGCAATAGCTGGTTTATCTGCCTGCCACAAGTTTTCCTTGCTCCAATTCATCCTCCATTCAGCTACTAAAGTGATTTTCTTAAAACACAGGTCCAACCCATGGTAAGGAAGTAAGCCTCAAAAGTAGGGTTTAGACTCTGTTCCTCTGACTCCTCAGTCTCTGTGCTTTTCAACAGTCCATGCAGATCCTATGTAGCATCCTGGATGGGAGAAACCTCCACACATCCCAGGTGTGGTCACATTGCTGAAACTCCTTTATTTACACTGCTCCTAAAATGTCAGCTGCAACCTCACTTGCAAACACAACTCACCTGAGTCACAGGTCCTTCTGAGACAACTTCCCCTCACTTTTTACACATTGTAAATACTTGCTGATTGATTGTCTGGCTCATTGACATATTTTATAGCTAGTCATTAGGTCCTAAGTCCCCTCATTTCAGAATTAGGGCTAGCTCTTTATTCAGTAAAATTGATGCCTTTCTGAAGTATCAGAGCTTGGCTAAGTGGTCTTATTCCACTTGATATTGGAAGGCCTCAGAGTGACCCATGTGTACTAGGCCACAGGACTCCTCCAGATGCAGAAGCTGTGGCATCACCTTAGGCACAGGCACCACAGCCACTTTCTCCCAAGAGTCTAGATTAGGGACAGAAAAGAGAATGGAAGAAAGACCAGAGAGAAACACAGGTAAGCCAGATAGCTCCGTAAACTACAACTTGAATTTATACACATTAAGAGGAAAGAAAGAGGTTCATAATAGAGACCTGCAGGTTTTTATGCAATCCTCTTTCTGTTCAACTTCGTATGGAAATACTTCTTGTGTTTGAAATTTAAATTCAGAATAAACAATTTTTAAGAGTCTGAGAGAACCAGTGAGTAGGTGCAACTTAATCCCAAGTGAAGCCATTAGCTCCCCAGATCTCTCTACTTACTTCGGTCTTGCCCTCTTCATCCCTGCCTGCTGTCTTACCTGGCTTCCTTAAGTTCCAATTAAAATCCCATTTTCTACAGGAAACCTTTCTCAATGCCTTTTAATTCTAATGCCTTCCCTCTTGTTTCCTATACATCCTGCTTATAGCTAGTTTGTACATATTTATTTGCTTGTTATTCCATTAGATTATAAGCTCCTGGAGATCAGTGGCCATCTTTTGATTCTTTTCATGTCACCAGCGCTCAGCAGTGTTGAGAACATAGTAGGTGTTAAATAAATGTCTACTGACTGACTGATTGGTCCTGAAGAATAACGTACCAGGGCATAAAGGATATGGTTGGCAAGGAGAGTTAGAAAGGGCTAACCCAGGGAATCTAGCTAAGCAAGAAAGTACTGGCATAGATTTAAGGTCAGGTGCAGAGGAGAAGAGCCAGGTGTCCTCGATCTGGACAAGGAAGGCACAGTTCAGGGTGTAGAAGATCAAAGTCAGAAAGAACAGCACAAGCAAGGGACCTCCTAGGGTGAAGCCAGTTTTCTCATAGCTCTCCTATAGTCTTGCTGGTAAGGGGCAGCCCTGAACCCACAAACATTAACTGTAGCCAAAATGTGTCCTAAGGACAACAGGCAAACCATGTCCCTGACAAGAGCAAGAATTGATGTATTCCAATCGGCCAGAGCTTCTCATGGTCCCAGCCCAACCAATGTTACTGCATAATGCTCTCATCGTCTTCCCCAGGAGAAAGAAGGAGTTAGCTGGCACAGTAATCAAGTATGCAGCTATAAGCTGAACCTGTACCATAAGTCATTATTAGCCAGACTCCTCAGAAGCCAGGTCCTCGTTCCCGCTAAAGAGAAGCACAATATTCATCACAGAACCACATGAAGAACCTTGGAAGAAACATATACTCCCAGACAGTTCACAGACAGCCACCACTCAAAAGGGATCAACAGTCAGGAACATAAGACCCTTACAATGACGTTGCTGGCTTGTTCACAAAATATTTCCTTGGGGGCACTTAGACGGCGCAGTAGATGGAGCACCGGCCCTGG